CACACTGTACATGTAACCACCAAAATTATGTGTGTCAAGTTTTGCTGTTAAGAACCAGACTGCACCAAATTTAGAAATGTTATTCCCTGAATTAAATTTTCCTTATGTTTCACAGTCAGAAATGGCTCAAGATAGATGAACGCCTGTTAGACATCACTGGCAAAAATAAACTAAAAGTCAGTGTTGAAACATTTTTGGGTGAAAACATTGTCATATACTCAACTTTATCATAAGCTTTTTGGTGGATAAAGCACAAAAAGCTTATTTTGGTCAGGTTTAGCATGGAAAAAATGTACGTAGACTTAAGATAGGACTTAAAATAGAGTTCAGGATAGAAGTAATAACATTACATTCATAATATTTAATAAGGGATTAGAGCTAAAAGGGTGTAAGTACCATTTATGAGTGTTCAATATCAACTGAAAGCTCCCAGTCAGATGATTTTAGTCCCCAAAGGACAAAAGAGAAATGATAACCTATAGGATGTAGTTAATAGAAAACTGCAAAAAGTTGAAGTGGGATTAAATTGAGTGCCTAAAAGGCACAAGTTCACTTACTTACATGTTAAAATCAGATAATCAAAGGCAGAGTGAAAGATGGAGATGGGTTTTTTATACGACAAATAAAGATCAGGTGGTCACATTTTGACATCAGGACCATTTATTTAATGATCTCTAAACAGTCTTTTTACACTATGTCAGAAAACAACAGCTATTGTACACAAGTCCACAATACTCAATACCAAAGTGTAAGCATCTTACAGTGTTATAAGGTGGGTAGTTTTTCAGCTCTTTAAATGTTTTAGATGGGTTAAAACAAAAATGTAACAGGACACTGTAAGGGTGCATCTATTAAAAGGGAGCTAAAGTGCATAAGGTATCACAGAAACTGAAATTAGTTTTTTTATGCAGTTTTTTTTTAAATTGTATTTAGAGGATCTCATCAAAGGTTGATTCGATATGTGTCTTTTCCTTCAAGATGAAGATGAAAATCTTCATTCTTATCTTTTTAACAGTTTTTATTGAAATGTTATTGATTAATTAAAAAAAAAAAAGCTGTTTACTTACAAACATACATACTCTGTGCTAGTTTATTTGGAAAGTGTTTATGCCAATAAGATGTGTCCTACTCTTTTTTAAATTTTAAAAAATGTGTAATCAATATTCTTACAATTTAAACTGGTGATGTGGATTTTGTAGAAATGCTCAATCTGAAAACCCAAATATATCAGTGTATTTAGTTTGTGGCAGCAGCGGCAGCAGATTTTGGTTTGATAAAAACTTATTTTGGCTCTCTGTTAAAATCCTTTACACTGCACTTATGCCTCTTTGGCTCTGAGATAAAAAAAAGAAAAAAAGTTGAAATAATCCAATTAGCTGCTGTCAACTGTTTGACGGTCATTTTTTTGTTTAGCACATAATACCAGATAGTGCATTCTCTGTTCAATCAATTCAGTTTATTTTTTAGACTAAAACAGGAGTGCACATTCAGTGTGGTGAAATGCATGTTGTCCTGACACTCTCTCACCCCTCAGAAACAATAGTAAGATAATAATGAAAATCAATAAATTTGTTGCATAAAAGTATAAGAAAGGGCAAAATGTTCTGGCTTGACTTACTTGAATTCAGAAAAAAAAGAGTGAGTGCAGATTTTTACCAGACTTTCCAAAGTCACCAAAGTTACAGGCACAAAATAAACAAATAAAAACAGCTGCCTTTGCTGGTGTCCTAAATTAATATAAGGTGAAAATTCAAGTCCCTGTAAAGGATATTTTCCTCACTCTTGAGAAGCCAGGTTGTAGCAGTTAATGTACCTTTGAAACTCTCCTAAATATAGGTCCAGACAGGAATAATTTCCTAAATTAAGCATATTGATGAAATGATTTTACCCCCAGGCCTAAAGGTAGCACCAGCCGCCAAGAATTTGAGGCTGTGTTGGAGTGTTTTCTTTTTTCTTTCAGAGGCTTGTTTAACAGGGAACCACACTGAGGTCTTTTCCCAGAGTGCACTTGGTGAGCCAGTGGGTCAGCAGATGACCAATCCCACATGCTTACAAATCTTTTTTCTTGCGCCACAGTTAGCATTAGCCCCTCCAGTCTTTTCATTATATCAGCGCTAATTACAAATTCTTAAACCAGTGCCCGACATTACAATAAGACAGTGCAGCGAGCATATGGCATAATATCCTATTAATGAACACTCTAAATTCAAACTCAGGTCAGCGCTATCACGCCGAAGAATGTGTCACTGATCCGATGGAGGCAGGGGGAGGGGGCTGTGAGGGGGGAGAGGGAGGGAGAGGAGGAGGAAGTGACCTTCTTCTAAAATGCACAGACTAATTTGGAGGGGGAAGGCAGCCCCCGGGCCGTCTCATTGTTTTACTTGTTTAATTTTTCGCCAGCAATTATTGATATAATATTTTGATGGCAGAGCCGGGGAAAGAGAAGTCATTAAAAGAGACCAAAGGAGGGAGGGCTGATTTTTTTTTTTCCTTCATTTTGCTTCGCCACCAGCACTCCTACTCATCTTCCTCTTTTTTTAACACTCCTCTTTTTCTGCGTTTTTCCCCGCCTGCCACTCTCCATCTCTCTCCAGGGGGAAAGTCGGGCTATTTGCATTCGCTGTCACAACAGTGTGAGAAACAAGTTGCGGCCGTCTCGCTGGCTCACTCCTCAGCACGCTTGGCGTTTTAATGGGGACTGTCAACTACAAGAGAGATGAATACCCCCCTTCTTCCCCCTACCTTCCTTCTTTGGGAAAAAAGAGGGGATGCAAATAGACACATTTAGCATGATTGCATCAGCGAGTGATAGATGTTCCCCGCAGCGTTTGGAGCTGGTTTTCTGAGTTAATCTGCAGAGATGACCCCTGTCTGAAGTGACAAATGCAGGGGGAAAGAGGATGACAAAGGTAGCAAAAGGTAGAGAAGGAAGACACTTTACCTTTATCTGAGATTGAGCTGTGATCAGTCCTTTTCTTGTCAGAGGCTGAAAGGCCATCAGCAGTCAAAATTACTGCCTCACTTCAGCTACTCAGCTGATAAACTGTACCGTCCTCTTTATGTGAAATTCATATGGACAAGAAGTCAAAACAGCTCTGTCTTACCCTGATGAAGGGCTTCAGGGGCTCATCAGATTACACAGGGGCCCTTCTCGCTACCTCTCCCCAGGGATGGCTCACTCTCAGAGGGCCCTGGAGCTGGACCCCTGGCCCTGGCCCCTGCAAAGCGCTGCTAGAGCCGTGTTTGTTTAAAAAGCAGACTTAATCCTCCGCAGCAGCTGTCTCAGATCAGGTCGCATTCGAGCGCTAAGGGAGGCCGGGAAGGGGGAAGGCTGCAGGTGCAGACTCCAGAGCAGATGTAGCGATCACAGAAAGTGTCAGAGCCACAAACAGTCAGGTGTAGAGAGTTTAAACTTGATCTAAAGATGATAGAGAGGGTTCAAAGAAGAACAGAGGAAACAATGAGTGATAAAATGGTTTTAATGAAGTAGCGCTGATAATTAAAGAAACCATCAAGAAAGCCAGCACAGAGATATGTTATCCAGTGGTACAAGGTCTGAATAAAAACAAAAATCAGCATTGCAAGCTTGGTGATTTAGCCGACTTTAACTGACCATACTGATGTAATCTTAGTACAGCTAGTGTTAACTTCACACATAATCCTCAGTTCTGCAGATTCTCTAGGGTGAGCATACGTCCTATTTTACCCAGATATGTCCCCTTTTTTGGGGGCTGTCTGGCCTTGTCTGGGGAAGTTTATAAAATCCTTCAAATGTCCAGGGTTTTGTCTGGTAGTTTTGCATTTGTGTCGCGTTGACTTACTAAATTAGAAGTGCGTAAAAACTCTCAAAATTAAATACACGTGACTCCGTGATTCCACCCCCGCATAGTCGTGTCTTCTTTTTGAGGATTCAGAATATGGTCACCCTGGATCTCTTTAATGTAGCTTATAGTTTATGGGCCCTATCTGACACCAAGTGCAAAACATTTGGTGTGCAGTGCAGTGGTGACAATATTATTTTCCACCCCCTGAACTCAGAGTTTTGTCCGTTGCCCTCATTATGAGAATTGCTGATGAACTTGCACCCACAGTAGTGCCTAGGTGTGGTGGCTTTACATGTGGTGTGTTTAGGTGCAGAAAACCTGGTCCAAATTCTAAAGCACATGATGCATAAGAGTAATATCATAAGAGTTCAAAGGTTGTCTCACTCACAGGGTGATCAGGACACCCTCATCACTATCTCCTTGCTCCACCTTCACTCTGCACAGACTAAATAAACTTTCAAAGACTAAGACTGTTACTAGGGTGTCCCTCAAGTTCACTCTCAGATACATGCAGAAACAAACTTCATAGACACGCTCACACACAACTACACAGAGTGGCCTGTGTGTGGAAATGTGGCAGCTCAAGTCCTGTGTAACCAAGTAGAAATGCATAAACCCACTGTGATACACCTGCTCACAGGCATACCTGTCTCGTAAAGGGAATACATGTGGACACTCTGATTGGTTTGATTCATGTTACACCCAAAACACACCTGTGTGAATAATCGAGGGACTCCCAGAGCCTCATAAAAAAAAAAAAACAGCATTAAATCAACTGGACTTCTGTGAATTGGTGTGGTTACTGTAAGCCTTCCAGAGCCTGAGATAACAGCGGTAACCCATAGCAACGGGCTTCAATTTGTAGCATCAGTTTGACAAAAAGACAAAATAAAGATTGTTGCTATGAAATGGTGCAACTCAATGACCGTACAGAATCAAATACTGAGATCAACTGTGTAATTATCAATGATAAAATCTCATTACTGGAATTAAATGATTTACGCTAGAAAATTGATGTAATGCTGTGTTTAGACCCATTCTTAAAACACCAGATTGCAAGATATTGTATTTATTTAAATATAGAAAATGATCTTGCTGTAAATTTACTGTTTTACCTCATATTACCAAGGATTTTACACTCGTCTCACCCATTAATTCTTCCTTTTTTGCTCCATAGGTCTGCTCTGTGAGTTTCTGCATCTAAGGAGCATCATCGATGAAGATCCCTCTAAAAGGTAATTTATAAGGCTTTTATAGATAACTGATTGGAGTCATGATAACATCCAAACTGTCCAAGTGGTATGTGTCTGTGAAACATCATCAGTTTTGAGTTGTGTAGAACTGGTGTGTGGTCAGTTACTTTGGAGGCATGCAGCAGGTGTCTGCATCTGATTCTCTCTAAGTCTACCTGTTGATGACAAAAGAGGATCTATTGGTCTTCTTTCCCAGCTTCAGAGCTTCACACACACACACACACACACACACACACACACACACACACACACACACACACACACACACACACACACACACAGTACACAGCCGCCCCTCCTTTATCCAGCTGATAACCACAAATAAACAGGAGAGGAGAAAAGACTGTTCTCTGAATATGGACTCAACCTGTAACGGCTTGATTAGAGAGAAAAAAGGTCATCCTTGTCCGGGAGTAAACTGGATTTATTGTTGTCTCGGCTGCCACGTGGCGGCGATAAAAATGACCTCAATAAAAAACAGAGCAGCCAATGCCATATGCAAATGATTCCATAAAAGGAATAAATGAAAGGGGAGGGGGGATGATCAGCAGGGTGGGTGAGGGTGGGGGTCAGAGGGAGCAAATGAAGGCCGAGTAGCTGAAAAAAACGGCCGGCCCATCACTCTTCATGCCAGCGGTCTTTATGTAGCTGTCCAGCAGCCGGCACGTGCCCCCTCCTCTCCTTCAGGAGCCCTCTGACTCTCTGATAATGCAAAGGGCAGTTCTGTGTGTGCGTGTATGTGTGTGTCTGCATTTGTGTTACCGGACTATGTAATGCCTCTTTTAGCTTTTCAGGGTTTTTGAAGCTGTGTTGGTAGAAGTGTCAAAAGCAGGGCTGCCAAAGTACAAAGTGCTTGTGATGACCCGCTGGTCTGATATGTTGTATCATATCTCTTCTTGTGTTGCTGCTGTGATTGGTTGTGATTGGTGGGCATGTCTGTTTAATCAGTCTGATGGGGAGCGCATGGGACCAGTGCTCTCAGGACTTCTCTTACACACTGCGTTTGGTTTCTGTTTCCTCTTTTTCCACCAACACTTGCACATTACATTTTCTATACACCCATTCACTTACACCACCATACTCCAATCTCATCTTTTCTACTGTAAAAATTATGTTTGTGGGTTAAAGCAGGACAACAGAGATCAGAACTATGAATAATGTCCATCAGGTTACACTTTGCCCATAGGTTTTTGAATTTAACCCTTTAGAGTGAAAATTTTTAGGTATACAGCCGGTCTAAAAGTACACGTGGGACACCTGGTAAAGACGAGACATTCAGCTCTTCGCTGTGTGCCAAGACAGAGACAAAGAGAAACTAAAGAGGATGGAAAAGCCAAGAAATCCGAGAGACAAAGCCGGGATAGAAACATACAGTCATAGAGACAGACACTGTAAAACAAAGAGCGGAGGCTGCAAATGAAGAGTGCAGCAATGCTGGCGGACATTGGCATCCTTTTAGCTGGCACGCCAACATGCCAAGTTGTAGGATTTACCCTGGAGCCCTTGGGCTTCGCTGTGAAAAGACTCAGTCGGCTCGAGGGGCCCCGCGGCTGGCTGCAGCCGGGGTCCCATTGTCTGGGCTGCTGGAGAGGGGGAAATGCTGGATGAATGGAGGGAAAACAAGAGGAAGACGGAGAGGAGGAGGAAGCAGAGGAGGAGGCCAGAGGGAGAGCAGCAAGTGGTTCCAGGGAGCAGGGCCAACATGTAGAAAAGAGGAGTGAGAAGGATGCTGTGGTATGCTCAGGGCCTAGAAGGAATCCACCAACTCATGCAGAAGTACACACTAATGTACAAAGCTGTTCCTGGCATCTTACCTCTATGTTAATACAACTTTATACCAACAAACAAGACTGAGACTGCTGTTAATACTCCAGTGCCCATACTCACAAACATCCTCTCAGAGAGCTCCCAACTTTGCTTTAAAACTTTTATTCAGGATGAGTCTGCGCCAAGAAATGATTCAAGAATGATCTCAAAGAAACATAAACTTTTATCCTGGTGAGGAGGTGTGGCCAACCTTGTTGCTAGGCTTATCACATTCTTTGATAAGCTGTGATTGGCTGATCCTGAAAAAGAAGAAAAAGCGTGCTGTCTTGGTGATAACAGGCATAAAATGGTAAAAGTGATACATCATATTGTAGAATCAGATCAGACATTGTTTTTCAGTGTTTTACTGGTGAGTAAGTTGTAAGTTATACTTTAAAATGATAAATCTTTCAAAATGTTTGACTGTTCAGACTCTGCACATGCTGTTTTTTAGCTCCTATTTGATCAACATTTAAGATCGATAAACTATTGTGTGATCTGCACTCGCTCTGCACTCCTGCATAATGGGAGACACAGATGTCATTTTTACTGCCTCTCCTAAAATGCATTTACTGCAGTGTGATGATGTCTAATGGGAAGTATGAACCTTTAAATGCCACACTTTTTATCTTTTTGTGCATCTTGTTACTGTCAATATTATTCTGCTCTCTCTTAGTTTCATTACGTCTTTAATAACAAGCCTCCATATGCCACACTCACTTGACATGAGGACAAGATCGCGAGTTAAACTGCAGCTTTTTTGTAGTTGCTATGAAACTGGCATCATTTTCCTCTCAGAGTTGTTAAGGATGTGCAGCTTAAAGTGTATTTTTCCTATTTTACCATCTTTCTTTTTAAACATGTTTAAGGTGGACATATTTGGAGTTTTGATTCACTCTAAATCACAAAGGTGAAGAAGCAGCTGAGAGTACCGTGAAGTGAGAGTCTGTCCGGGGGCATTATTTGAACATAAAGATATGAGGGGCTTGAGAAGAAGTCCAAGAAAATACATATGGCTGAAGTGGACACAGAAAGACAATAATGTCTCTTACCCATGGTCATCCCTCGATATATTACTTCTGTAGATCTAAAGGGAAAGCACAGTGGTATTGTATTGTGGAAAAATATTTGACCAAAAGTAACAACTAAAATGTAATGACTTTTGATTAAACGAAACTAGACAGAAATGCTTTGACTTTTGTTGGCTAAAACACCCCTGAAACTAAGACAGACAAGAGCGACTACAATACGACTAAAAATAAAATACATTTTTTAGTCTAAATCTTCCATGAGTTTTTTTTTTACATCCAAGCCTTGGACTCTTATTGAATCGTTTTTTAATGAGGTCTGAAAGCAAACAAAACCATAAGCAACATGATTTTTTATTTTATGTGGGACTTTTAAAAGAAAGTAAAGACTCCTTTGTCCACAGGGGGCGCCAATATGGATGCAGATCAAAAGCTCCTTATATGAGCTTTAAACAAAAGTTAAGAATAAATCTGATATGGCTGCCAAAATTAAGACTAATGTGGATGGCTGACATGAGGCTCTAGGGCTGCTCAATAAAACAATAATGATATATATCTAAAATTAATTTTCCTTAGTATCAATATAAAACATGGTCTGCCTGTTTTGGTAGACTATAGGAATAGCCAGTGAAAAGGGGAGTTGCTCCAGGTCCGCTTTGCCCTGAACCATCATGTGCTGAATTAGAACCAAGTAGCAAACAGCTGCGTAGTAGCAGGCTTCAGCTACATGCAACCATCGCACTTTAACATGTGAAGCCGATAGAAACAACGTGAAAAAAAAGAAAATGAGTGCTACCCCCGGCAAAAATGCAGATGAACGCTCAACAGATGATGACATTGTCAACAACACTGACACGAAAATGTCGATGGTGCGGAGGTACTTCGTTTTTTTTAGGTCAGACATGAAGCAGAGTAATGTGCACTGCAAATTATGTTGAGTACATGTTCTCACAAAGTCGGGTGATACCTCAAATCTTTTTCATCACCTGAAGCAGTACCATGCAGCAGAGCACACGCAACGCAAAAGGCTACAAACACCGAGCAGAGCAAGGAGCCCATGGCGCCTGTGCAGCCGAAACAGCCGACCATTCAGTCTGCTTTCTCTAGTGCAACGCCTTATGACAAAACAGCGAAGAGACACAAAGACCTCACAGATACAGCAGCTTATTGTATTGCAAAAGACATGCTACCAATAAGCTCTTTAAAATTTCATTTTTCATATTGTGATATATAACAATATAGACTGATATGAAAAAAATATGTTGTGAAAAACGCCCAGCCCCATGAGGCTCCTGTAATTGTTTCAGCCTTTTTTTTTGTAAACAGCTTAAAAAATCCTTACAGGAGCTTTAAAAAACTCCCCAAACCTCCAACAACATAGAAAACTTTCCCCTGTATGTCCTTTTTCATGTCCCCTCTCCCCTCTGTGTATCTGTGTTGTCGTTCATTTCCGAGGCGGTATGCGGTGTGCTGCCTGCTCTCTGTTGTCAGCAGCTGGAGCATCAGAGCAGAGCGTGCAGGTGTGTACAGACCAGAAGTCGCCCATGAATGAGAGCTCATCCAGAGGAGCCGGTGAAAGCACATGGTCAAGTGGTCAACAAATGAAAATGGAAAATTGCTACCACTTGTGGGGCCTGTTCAAGTACATGCAAGCGGGAGAGGTGGTCAGGTCATGATGGATGCCCCGTGTCCCGGTTGTTGTTGATATGATCAAAAAAAATACCAGGGCCAGCCCCCTCCATCCTCCTCCATTCACCACCATAATAGACAAACAGATGTGCGCAGGTCGCTGCAAGCACAGAAAATTGCCTGTGTGCAAAATTGCCTTTGGGATGAGAAATTTTGTTTATTCGTTGCACAAGTCCAATCATGTTTTTGAGTCCAAGTACATTGTTAGTGTTTTTCTATCAAATGGCAGGGATTTTAACTTGTTTTCCAGCAAAACAAGCAAATAGGGACATGAATGGTGTTTCAGAACATGTTTACTCCTGCTCAGGAGGGTGAGATGAAAATGAAATGTATGCAACAGGGAATGAGGCACAATGCTATGACTTTAAGGTACTTTTCAGAGAGCACAGAACATAAAACTGTAGCTTTAGATTGTGGTTTAAATGATAAGCATGCAAGACTTTAAGAAAAAGTGATATTACTTACTCTTGGATGAGGGTGTGGAAGCCGGTGTGGCCATATGTTAAAGGCCTAAAGCAGCTGTATAGTGAATGTGCTGCATCTCTATATGAGTTAAGTCTAGTAAAATGTTTGTGCATCATTTACCACATAATTTGATGCAAATACTATGAAATGTAGGAATGGGAAAGCAAATAAGCCAGAATGGCAATTTAATGAAAACAAATGTTGGATGTGGAAATGCAGATGTAATCGTGTGTTTAGAGTACGTCGCTCTCTCTATCTCTATCTGCTTCTGGCTCACACACACAAGCACACACAGGCTGGCATATCCACACACTCGCAGGTTCTAAGGAGATTGCATTTCCCTAATCATATGCATTTTCCACTTCATTTCCATGCTTTTTCAGCTAGAGGCACTCAGCAGCCATCAGGAACACAACAATCTCCACATTTATGTTGCTACACAATCACACTGTGTAATCTCTGCTGCAAAACTTCCGCAGCTACAACAAATAATCCTGATTCCTGTTGTGCTCTTGCTAGCAGCAGACACTTTGTTAAAGATGGTGACCTTCAACCTTCGGTCAGCAAAAAAACAAAAACGTCTCGACATGTATTTTTTTCGGGAGCAAGGGCAGACCCAACTGCAGATTAAAACAGATGCACTTGCGGAATTAAATCGTTTATTGGGCTAAAGGAGGCAAAGACAAAGTAGTGATAGGTAAGACGTGGATCTATGGAAAGTGAGAGAAGCTGCAACACTGATCAGCAGAGGGAACAGGTATGGAAAAGGTGAGAAAAGGATGGTGTGTCTGAATTCACCTTGTGGAGAGGCTTGCTAAACAGACAGTCTTGGTCATTACAGCGACAGAGCTTTCGTACATATGAAACATATCTTTTTAACATGGACACAATTTATTGATTACACCTGAAATCGCAAATCTAATTTGGAGTCAGTTAAACAGCATTAGTAGCAGGGGAAGGATTGGAAAGAATGAAATTAGGAGCAGTAATGGTTGTCTTTGCTGCAAAGGACTCAAGCAGTTGTACATTTTATATAATTTTTGTTGGAGTAGAGTCTTCTTTTGGGGGTGCTGCTTTAAAAAAAAAAAAAAGGTCTAAACCATGTTTCTGCATAAGATTTGCGGTTCGTTCTGCAATGTGCAGTTTACATGCAGATGTGTAGCTTTTTCTTGTACCACCTGGTATCACGACCATAGCAGGTACCTCGCTTTAAACCCCTCAGTGTAAAAAGGTTTGCATTTACCATTTCAGATAGGAATCTTTTTAATTGCAATACATACTAAGACATTCTTTATTTAACTTCTTACAATAAATCTGAAAAGGAAGCTGTAAAATCTCTTAAAAATTCAGATAAAAATCCATTAGGCTTGGTGATAATGTCCCGTGTAACATGCAAATACAGAGATTGAAATTGTGCTTTTGACCTATATATCATTTTATCTTTTTTTTTTGTTTGTTTTTTTTGCGTTGAATGCTGAATAAGAAACAGTGATTAATTAAATTCTGCAGCTCCATGGTTAAAATAGCCCTATTAACCTTGACAGACCTTCATCAAAGCTCAGTCAGAGGTGAGGCTGCCAATCATACACCACTGGAGTCAGCATTTTATCACCGCAGGATGCTGCCCTTTGCCTTCCTGTCCTCCAGCCCAGAGTCTCTCCCTCTTTTATTCTACCTCTCCTTCTGTGATTGTTTTAATTCAACCATCTATGAAAAGCACACTGAGAAACAAGCGCCTTGACTGCTTTTGTAGCTCCATAAGACTTTTTACTGGCTAACATGAAGACACTTGTAGTGAAAACGAAATGACAGCGTCACACAACTTTTAAAGCTTTGTTCATTAGGAATAATAATTTCTAAGTTTTCACTCGAGAGCTTTGGCAATGGTCTAATCACTCTTCCTCCCGTTTCCTTCCCATTTGCTCTGCCTGTCTTTTATCTCTCTCCTCTCTCCAGTGAATATCTGTGATAAATAAGAAAGGATTAAATATGAATCCTGAGCAGCATCAGTCTTGCTGTGAGCCATTTCCAACATGTGTGGCTGCTCCTCTTGATTAACACAGATATTGTGAGATAATGAAACAGGTTAAATTCGACAAAACAAAGGTACTTTCTGTTGCGAAAATGCTGTGTGCTACACCGATTGCTTTTCAGCTTCTTTTCTTAAGAGAAAAAAAAATTAAACTATTTAAATTTTTCTCATTTCAAGTGTTCAGAATCAACCCTAAGAAATTACTGCAAATTTCTTTACATGCAAAATAGGTAAGGCTTTTTTTGTCCATACACAGCATGACTTTGTTTATGATATCATATAACATGTCCTCATCTGACAGATACACTTGGCTTCTGATTTCATATTGTCTGTCTCTCAGTCAGAGTTCTGTAAATCCACAGTACCAGCACTGCTCCCATTAGTTATAAATGATATCCTTGAGCACCTTGATGGGGAGCAGTGTTGCCCGTCTTTGTTTGTTGACTTTTCCAAGGCTTTTGATTTTGTTAGCTACAGCATCTTATTTAAACCTATCATTAACATTAGGTTTTTTTGTGAACGTACTGTATAATTGGGTGGTTTGCTTACTATCTCACTTTTAGAACACAAACTGTGGGGTCAGGTGCTACAGATCCACGAAGGGTACCAAAGGATCAGTCCTGGGCCCACTACTTTTTATGTTTACGTGAATTGTCTCAAATTCTGTGTTTTACCTCTATGCTGATGACATGGTTTTTGTTTGCTGTGTATATACACCTGCTCAAGCTTTCTTGAGTCTTCATCAGGCATTTGTTTCAGTACAAAATTAACTTTGTCAACAGCAACTCTTCTAGACTTTTATCTGCAGTATTACTTGGGAACATTGTTACCGAAGACCTGTGTGAAATTGGATTATCTATCAAGTCCTATAACCTGGCTGAATAGAGGTAAAATGGATTAAAGAATAAATCCTTAAGAAAGGTCCTTTTTTTGTAGGCAGCGGTAGGGTTCTTTCCTGAGTAGGTTACATATTTATCAAATTCTTTAAATGCAAAAACACTTTCCACTGTCTCTGTCATTCAGGAGAACAACATCCTTGTAAAGAAACGATGCAACAGGTACTAACAGATGAGAGGAGAAGTCTGAATGGGCCCTTGTCGTTTCTCATTAGTCTGCGGTACTATCCGGCGCAGCATGGCGAAGCGTGACCCACAGCAGGTTAGGGCAGCCTGGTCCTTCCCAGCTCGTAGGGCTCTTTAGGAGAAATATTGATGACAGTCGGGACGAGGCTTTGCTAAATGAGCCTCAGCAATGAGCTGGAAAATGACTAATGTTCGCAGGGTGAGCCCAGAGTGGTCGGGCCTGCCTCTGTACTGCTGGGCCTGCCCGCTTTTTCAGGACTGAGAGGGAAAGAGAGGACATGAACAAGTTTGTGTGTATGTTGGGGTGTGAGAGAGTATGTGTGCACATGTAATGCTACCCTTTCAGAATCATATAGATACATTCAAGGCAGCACTTTTGCTGTCACTGGTGATCAAATGTGAGACAATTAGACACAGCCACTAAGAACTGATGTAGAACCGCTACTAAATATGTAAACAGCATACAGAACTAATACAGTATGGTATTTATATCTGACTGCCTTGACTGATTGGTGTCTTCAGCACATTTAATGTCCAGCACTTACATTATCTTACGTCACATTCTTGCACAATAACATCAAACCCAAGAATCTTTTAGAAACTTTTTGCAAACAGAGCATTGAAAAAGTCAACTCTGGATAAATTCATCAAAGCAAGAAAGGACTCATAACGTATCCTAAATGTGGCACTCAGTAGTTACCTATCCAAAACAGTGGCAAAAGCTGTCCTGCAGAAGCTTAATACTCTGATAACTGGGGTAGACATAACTGAGCCCTTTGTTTCCAGTCCACTCAGTGTCATGTTGTTATTCTCACTACCCTGATGCCAAAAACAGATAAGCCTAACAAAGATTTAAATAGATTTGAGCATTTAATATTTAGGTGTATTAAGTTGTTATTCTGTACATTGATATACAAGGTGTCCACATTATGCACATCAGCGTCCATTAATCACCTGTGAGCTACAAATAAAGGCAAAACAGTCCAGAGGAGTCACCCACATCAGCAGCTCTGTATCCTTTTTTATTTGTTGAAATCATATCAGCCTCTGCGGTGAGAGAAGAAACACTCCCGGTTAAGTGTCGCCCTCCTCCTGCTTCCTTCCCCTCTCCATCTTCCTCTCTCTCGCACTCTCGCCTCCAATCCACCATTATTAGTGCCTCCAATACTCCAGAGGGCAAACAAACTTTCAAAAAATTCCCCATAACCTGCCAAGCGTAGCCCATTTTCCTCTCCATGCAATTAACTGCGCCAACATTTACAATAATATGATTACAGACACTTTGGCAAAGTCATGGGGGGAACGCGGGGCATATTAGGTATCAGCAAGGGGTTGATCGTAATGGTCGCGTTTCCCGGAGACTCACATTTTCTTTTGCACGCAATAGTGAGAGCCACTAAATTCTCCTCAGGCAGTAAAAACCAATGCACTGGAACCATGATAACAAACACAGGCAACCACTTTCTTTCTCATCACTCCCTGATTTTCTTTCTCTTACTTTGGGGCCTTGTTGTTTTTTCTCAGCTCTTTACTTTCCTCTGCACCCTTCTCCTTAACACCCCCACCCCCTCGCTGCGAACCCCATGCACCCCTCAATTAATTAAGTCTTTCACGGCCATGTAATTAGGAACATTAGCAAGTCATAAACTTGCCACGAGTCTTGAAATTATGTGCTGGCCCTCAGCAATTTGTTTGTAATTCCTTTTTCGTGAGACAACAGCACCATAGGGTCCCATAGATCTTCCCAAAGCCCCTGCTGTGCCCCCCCGCCCTCATTTCGCTGCCACGACAAGGCAGGATAAGAGGGGTCCTTGTCGGGCTGAGAGGGGGACCACATGATGCCCGAGCTGGCTGGCACCCATCCTGCAGCTCTCCAAAGGCTCAGCCTGATGGAGGCTGTTGTCTGTTCACTGCACACTGCTCAGGTTTTGCATCCATCTGTTAGCAGCGGAGGAGCTGCTAACACACTTACTTTAACCTACATTTCAATGAGATCATTTACAGTTCGCTAGCTTTTATTAAAAGACTCAACTCCTACAAAGTGGTGCAGGATTAAACCAAAACTTCACCTTAGATTTTAATTGTTTGACTATTAAATCAACACTCTTTCTACCCTGATTCCAAAACGGTTGGTACACAGAGTAAAATGTTAATTTGATAAAAAATTTTGTTTGTTTGTAAATTATTGAAACAATATATTTACTGAAAATAAAAAGGACAGGGGCGTGTTTACCACTCTGATAGATAAATTTAACTGCCCAACATTTCAGGTTTCCCTCTTTTATTGAATGTGTTTCATGATATACTAATTGTTTTCAGTGGGGGATGAGTTGACAATGCAGGCAGGCTATTTAAAGTTCCTATAAGCGTTTTTCTTTTTTTCTTTCTTTTTTTTTTATTTACAAAAAAAGGCAGCGCTTAGAAGGTTTACAAGCTAGTTACAACAAACCTACCAGGGATCTCACGGGCCATTGTCCTTTTTTTCCTTTTCTACTCTTGTTTGGCAGATGCAAAAATCACGTCTAAGAGGCATTCATGCCATCTCAAACCCCACAAAACTAGCTTTTCACTACTACTATTTTAACTATCCTTACTGGTACATTTTTTACAACTGACTCAAAGTCATATTAATGCCTTACTTTGCCAAAAAAAAAAAGAAAACAAGAGCATTAGTGACGTAGTTGATAATTATCATTTTGTAGTTGTTTTGTATACATTGTCCAACATTAATGATCCATTCCCACAAGCTAACATGCCATTGGTTCCTCTCCTTTAAATAGTCTCATATGCAGTGATCATGATTTCCAAAGAAATTTCAAATTTTCTTTTTTCTTTGTTTCTTTTTTTTTTTTTTTTTTTCACTTCATCTCAGTCCATCTACTTTTGCAGTTTAAGGCAGTTTGCTTTAACCCATCCAGTCCACCTTGATAAAGTCTGGAAATAGGAGTGCAGTGCATGTATGACACGGGACATAATCTGGTTACTTCCAATGTGAAAGAGAGGTTGCATTAGTTGGACTTCCAAAAGCCGACAATTTCAATTAAAACAACCACCTTTCTAATCTCAAATGTAGCGCTCCTGTGGCTTCAGTCTTACCATAGCGAGGACTCGTGGCTCATTTATGCTCTAAGCAAGATACACATACTGATGCTTCTGCACATTCCCTGCACTTTAACAAATTGGATTCCCTGTCCATATGTTGTTAAGTATTTAAATGGTGTCAATGACTGCCATCTACAATCCTGCATCCGAGTTTGACTTTATCCTAACTACTGTTCAGTTAGATGCTCTTAACCGTCACCATGATTGTTGTTGTCACAAACGTTTGACTCTTTCTTTTCTTCTTCTCCTTCTTCTTCTTCTTTGAGGTAACTTTAGTGTTTGATTGGTGCCATCTAGCATATTATCACAAATCCCCCTTTCCAACCTTAAGGACACATGGAAGTGAGAGGGTTTTGACAATTACACTGTTTAAAATGAACAGTCCAGGGGATCATAAATGACTGCGTAGTATTGTGATTGCCTCTGCCCAGCATACCTGTCTGTATATGGATATGTTCTGATTCTGCATTTGTCCTGTTGGAGGTGTCTGAAGAGCTTATCCACATATTGTATGTATAAGTGACATTAATGTTTCATAGCCACACATGGAGTAGGGGTTTCTAAGTTGAGCTTAACTCCTATATAAACAGTCTATCTACTCCACCATCTGATATACATATAAGACCATGTCAAAACATCTCACTCTATTTTTGTCCTTATTTGTCCTGCAAGTGTTAATCAACATTTTTTCTCGTCCTGATTTTTGCTTTCATTCGGATGATTTTGGAGCTTCATATGTGTCACATCTGCCGCAGGAGTCCTTCAGTCCTCCATTCAAATGAAGTCTTCATCAACCACAAAACAGCCTATCATGCAGAGGTCTAAACATGTGATTTTCTCCCCATTGCGGAGTGAACATGCGTGTGTTTTCCCTCTGTGTGTTTCTCTGTGTGAGAGTGTGTGTGTGTTTGTGTGTGTGTGAGCTCTTTTGTCTGTGCTGCTTCACAGAGGGGTTAACGCCATTGATGCCTGTGTGATTCCAGCTCAAGCACTCTCATCAGCAGCCTTATTCTCTCCTCCGGCTGCACCCTGACCTCCCAATAACCATACACCATTGTTTCTATTTACCGTTTGCCAGAGATGGAGGGAAAACTGGAGGAAGAGCATGGCAGAGAAAAAGAGAGCCAGGGCTGCTATTGATCGGCTTCCACATGTATTGAAACCAGATATTGATTTTCTTTCTTTTTTTTCAAATGGGAAAAAGTGCATTGTCCGACGGAAGGAGATTTCTGTGGGGATTTGGGGAAAGAGGAGTTGAAATGAGCATCCGGTGCTCCGTTGTCTCCTGTGGATTGTGTATAGGGCTGTGGTAATTGAATTGAGCGAGCAGGGCCCTTCTTCGATATGTGCTCTCTTAAGAGTTTTTGGCCTGTCAATGTTTCTCTGTAATATTTCTGCAAGAGGACTCTTCAGAAAGCATGGAAAGTTTTTCGGGGAAGGAGTTCAGCACATGATGAAGCAGATAACTGCCATTATGAAGAATAATTAGTTATTAGTTTTCATGTCATTGCTTGATTGCTGCACTAAATCAGCTGGGTTCTTCCCTGATTTATACACTTGTATAATCATATCCTGGTTTATGTCCTTTTATTGTGATAAATCAGAGACAAATTTGTGATATGTTGATGAAAAAGTATTTCACAATGACTTGAATTACAATGCATCTCACCATAAAGGCAGACAACATGCTGCTGTGCCAATCTGTTATGCCTGAAATAGAGAAATGCTCAAAGTAATTGCTACAAAATGCCTTTTTACTAAAAGTGAAGGCAAAGTGAAATGACATTTAAGATAAAAATTAAATTTGAATTCAAATTGCAAACCTGCTAAGTCAAATTGCTGTTCAGTGTGAGTTGCTGTAACTTTCTATGCATGTCCGGAAAAAATGCATCAAATTTTAGCAAAGAAGTTTTAAAGATACTTTTGATGAAATATTTTGTATTTGTTTGCGGAACAGAAGACTAAAGTACAAAAGATGAAAAATGTATTAGAACAAGTAAAACATAACTACCACAGTGCAAGACGAGATTGATAATTTTACTCATAAAGCACCTTTTAAAAAATAAGCTGCAAAGTGTTTACAAATAAAAAAATAATAATAAAACAAAAAAAAAGCAGTTATCAGCTGTAGATTTAAAAAGCAATCCACCAACAAACAGGGTTGATAAAAATTTAAGCAACTCATTACAGACATGTAGGATCCAGTTTCTTAATATTAATTTAAGAGAAAACCAAACGACAGAAATGAGTGTAAAGAAGAGATTTAAAAGAGGACAGTGGGTTAACCTGTCCGACACCCTTAGGCGGAGGGTTTCACAGCTGTGGAGCACCAACTGCAAACGCTCGGTCACCTCCTGTAACCAGTCAAGATTTAGGAACCATGAGAAGGACCTAAGGTTTGGGTCAGGATCCCGGGGAGTCAGAGACTCACATCAGGCTTTAATAACAAGCAGTAAAATCATAAAATCTATTGCAAAACTCAAAGGGATTCAGTGATGAGCAGCAAGGACTGATGTGGTCACCTCTCTTAGTAAGTGTTAAAAGCATTTTGAATGACTTGCTGTCTTTGTATGTTGCTGCGATTACTGATGCCAGCGTTAAGTGCATTACAGCAGCAAACTCTGGAAGAAATAAATAAATGACTTAGAAGAAGGACAACATAATCCTGTACCAGAATGACAGAGGTAGGATACGTATTATTCTCTGCAAAAGTAAAATATTGAGCTCTTGAAAAGAAGCTGTCATAAAATTCGAGGTCATATCTGGATGAATTGGGGCAACATGTATCAACATTCAAAGAAAAGTGTCCTGAAATATCTTCAGTTCCATACAGCCAGGGTTTTCACTGCAACGACAACAACCAAGTCTAATCTGTTTATTATTCACACTATGAGAGGAAACTAGATTGCTCAAAAACAAACAAGCAGTTTTCTGATGTAAAATGAGAATTACACCAAAGGAAAAAAAAAGACTCCTCCTGCTTTTTGACTTTTGTGATAACAAAATCATAAAACTTTACCTCTGCAATTTGTGTTTCATTTTTTAAACTGTACGCCAAAATCCTGTCATGAAATTCAATTTTAGACCTTTTAAAGGGATGAGAAACTGTGATTCTTTCACATTTAATCCAACAAATGATTCTTTTTTATTAATTTTTTTTACAGCCTAAACAACTCTAAGAAACTGTAACAGATCATATGTCAGCTGAACTGCAGGTCTTTTGTTGTTTGTGATGGAGATAGACATAAATTATTCCTTTTATTTATCACAAAAACTAAAATTGCCACTATGCATATGCTGCATCATCTCCCGACAGAGAAAATCAAACTATAACTCAGGGTGAAAAATACTAGACTTTTTTTCACATAAACAAAATATTTTTAATATTATTTAAATGCTGGATTTAAAGATGCTGATTGATGGACATGATCTGTTTGCTGATGAAATGTTTGTTTTGTGAGTCCTCTCTCTGTAAGTGGGTGAAAAATCAAACATGAGCTGGTGATCAGTCTTTCAGAGAGAAGGTTTTCTGGCCTCTTCAAACAAAGGGATGTCTGAAATCAAGCGAGAAGCTGTCTTTTGTACACAGTGGAGTATCTTTGTCGTCTTGTGCAGTTTTTTTCCTGCTGATTTGAAGTGAATCACAGAACAGCTATATCAGCATTTTACTTCAAACTCTTTTCTTGTAACACTTTCTTTCCCTCCCTCAGTATCCCAAACTTTACTATTTGCATCTCCATCCTCAGTTCACCTCCGCCTCTGTGAACCCTGCTCTGAACTCTGTTGTTCCTCTCCTCACTGTCTCTGTCGCTTCACGTCGGCCGAGTCGCCTCCGCGGACACAGCCGGAGCCTCGGCTGCCTGCTTCTCATTCAGCCGGCGTCGGCCTGTTCTCCCACTCAATTTGCAATTAAGACCAAATTTAGAGCGCTGGAGCCTGAAGGCAGGTGGGTGTCCGCACAAGGAACATGTTGCCTAGCAACTGGGGGGGATGGAGTCAGGAGGGTGTACCTGAGCAGTAGGGGGCAGTGTGGAGAGGGAGTGATTGTATATCTGTTGGGGTTGGATGTATGTTGGAGTTTGCTGATAATGGAAAGACATTATTAAAGGTACATTAGGCAATCAACTAGTGCTGTGAATATTTCACCCGTTTTCAAAGTATTTCTCTTTTTTTTTTTTTCACATTTACTTGTCTTAAAAAAATAAGCCAGAAAATAAGCCAGAAACCTATAAACAAGATTTTGAATCTAAATAACCCATAGATCTAGAGGTTTTTGAGCTCTTTTAGCAGATGACTATCGCCGGAAGTCTTTAAACAGGCTGTTTCTTTAAAGCCTGAGACAGCACAAGAAGTGAAGTGTCTGACAACACTTCAGAAAGGATCCCTGTAGAGATAGACCTTTTTTTGTAAAAGACAAGGTCTCTTTCCTCTAATCACAAACAGCTGTTCCTTCATTCATTGCTGTGCAGAAACAGAAACAGGAGTAACTGGAGTACAACTGTCCTGATACCATAGTTTGTTATTTGTTTGTCATTGGGGTTGCAGTTTGACGCGGAAAGAGAGTAGTTTTAGTCTTCTTTGCTCTTAATACTTTGTACCTAGTTCTAGTTGACAAAAAAGTCAAAACATTTTTGTCTCTAAATGTCACAAAATGATTTCTGTCCTCAAACTAATTTAATTAATCAAAGCCTGTACAGCCAGCCCTCAGGCTAATGCAAAAAGTGAAATTTCAGCCCCACACAAGGCAACAAGGCAGCGCTTGGAAGGTTTACAAGCTAGCTACAACAAACCTACCAAGGATCTCACTGGCCACTGACCCTTTTTTTCCTTTTCTACTCTGTTTGGTAGATACAAAAGAGGTCTAAGAGGCATTCTTGCCATCTCCAACCCCACAAAACTAGTTTTCCACTACTACTATTTTAACTATCCTTACTGTCTTCATGTAACATCATATTTGTTTTCACCAACCTGCTATAAAGAGATTATCAAAAGCTTGGAGGTGACAAACATCCATGTCTGTTTCCCACAACTACAGGAGGGTTATTTTAGATCTCAGTGGGTAAACTGATAAGGTAAAGGATCAAATCCAGTCCAAGCTCCCCCTCCTGCAACCCGGACCAGGGCAGACAGATAGAGTATCAGGGGTCAAAGGTCACAGCTCCAGCCATCCTCTGGCAGGGCTCGCTGTCAGATCTCCCGATACTCCGTGTGTGTATCATTTAGTGTGCTTGTATGCATACTGTGAATTTGTTTCACCACGTGTGTTTGTAGTTAAGTGTCAGGAGAGTTTCTACACATGGAGAGGAGCTGACAGTTACCTTCACCTTTTCTATTATAGTTGCCCTGCAGTGTAGACAACATGTTGGCTTACTGACCTTTATTTTGGTGGTGGAAGGCAGGCTGAGTGACACACCACTGTTTTATTCTCCAATGAAATCTACACTCTTAATAAGCTTATCTACCCTCTTAACACTCATGCACCAATAGAAAATGACTCTCACTTAAACCATCATTGAGGCTTACCTTAACCAGGATGGTTAACACTGTCTGCCCACTGTCAACGTCAGGTGTGTGAGGGACCTCTTTTAATTGATTTATGCACCCTCTCTATAAGTGAGAATGTCTGTACACTTAGTGTGATGGATTTACTCAAAGTTCATATCTTTCTAATGTGAAAGACAGGATTTCCAGGGGAAGCCTTCAAGCATTGAAGGGTAAACAAATGCAATACCACAAAAATAAAATAATTAAGGGAGGGTAGACAAGACGCATGGACACTTACGTTAAGTGTGAATAGGTCTACATGAAATATCCTAAAACTACGTGCCATATGACATATTGCCAGGCTATACCTGTTTTCACCTTAGCCAGGTGCTGGGAGATTGTCTATGAAAATTAAAGCTGATTTTTCCCCTCACTTAGGGGTTGTATTTACACTGAAGCAGTAAAACTAACAACACTTTTCCTTATTATCATTACATCAGTAGGAGGGTTAAAGAGATAAATCTGGAAACATTTATTCCTATTAAAGTTCTTATTTAGAATTATGAAGAAATAAAATCTTAATAATTAAAGCTCCTGTTAAGAGTTTTTTCACATAGAGGAATTGTACTGAAATTCATATGGATGCCTTTTTATGTTATCGAAAAGTAAACCATCAGTGACATGATTGATATTTTTATTTTATAATTCTTTATACCTGAAATTAGTGTCGGGGCTAGGTGTCATCAGAGCAAAGTTCCTCACAGGAGCTTTAAGTTCCTTTAAATTAGGATGATTAATGTCTGTACAGCCCACGATAACACCTGTCAGACTTTCCACTTTGAAAAAGTATCAAGTTTTAGATATTCATTGCTTTTGCTGAGGTCAAAAAAATAAATGTTTTGGGTGAGAATTCAAATAGTCATCTTCATCCTTTGTTCTTTGTTGGCACGGTTTCATATAAACCTTTTTTCCCCCTCAAAGCGAGGCATGAATTCAAAACAGCCTCCCTGCCCAACAATAACCCAGACTTAAACAGTTGGTACACATTTTACAGCCCCGCTCTGTTCCCCAATCGGTATCATCTTCCATATTTGCATGTGCTTGGATGCTGAGAGTGGCAAATTGAGTGAGAAAATAGCCATATTACCACACAGTGGGAGAGGGAGTGTGTCATGTGCAGCAAACAAAGGAAAACGACGGCGATGGCCCCCACACCGAGCAAATGTCTGCTCTCAACTCAGCCGAATCACATACACAGAGAGTGCGTGTGTGATGGGGGACAATAGCAGAGATAATGTCAAAGATTCCTCATGATTTGTGGACTCTGAAACTTGTCATGGGTGAAGAGAGAGTGGAGCCTTCTAATGCCTCTCACCTGACCATCATGCCACACACAGACAGTGTTCTTCTGCTGCTTTTGAATAACCTGCACTTGTACAAAAACAACCTTAAAAGGCACGATGAAAGAAACTGTGTCAACCTGTGAGCTGAATTTTTAGATTATTTAGAATTTAGAATTTAGGAACTCAACATTATGATGAACAGTACTGTCTTCTACAGCTCTGTATTCTGCATTTGCATGTAACTTGTTTTTGTATACTTATTTCCGGGTACTGTCTTGACACTTGATGGAACCTGTAACAGAATTGTACAAAAATGTGTCTACTCATGAAAAAGACACGAGTTATGCTTTTTTAAAAATGACCTTTTTAAAGCACTTCTATTGCCTCAGTTTGATTTTTATACACTAGCTAAGTTTATAGGCAACATTTCAGCACCAGGAACTGTCCACTTTGACCTGTTTACTCCAGATACTATAGAGTATATGAAAATAGATGCCACAAGTGTTTACAGACTGAGAAGCCTGACTGACAGGGTGCCTGTCAGTCAAGTCAGTTGTGCCTATGATTCACCAATCTCTTAACTTCACTGTCTCTGAAATAGCATGTTACCAAAAATTCACCCTCAGTAGAGTGGGTGTCGTGGAAGCCCTGAGCTATTCAGACCATAACCATTTAACCAGGCAGTAAACATGCTATTTTGGCTCCAAAGATGTTTTTCTGTTGTTTTGTGTTGTTTTTTTAATGATTGTGTGAGTGTGTGTTTTCCAGTGCCTTTGCAGCCAGCCTCAAGTGGACACTCAGGTGACTGCAGTTTTTACTGAATCAGCTTCAACCGAATCTAAATTCACAGGCCTGTTGATGAATGTGAGCTCCAGCAGTTTTCACACACACACTCACATATATGCACTCACCAGCTGCTTTATTAGGTACACTTCGCTAAGGTATCACCAAATATATCTTTAAAATGAGACAACTGTCTACAGCAAGCTTGTGTAACCCCTCAGCCCACAAATCAGCTCCATATAAAAATCAGGAAACCTGATTTATCTCTATGTATTGATGATTGATGTCCACGGTGTCTTTGGTAAACTTGTAAAGATTTTTGCTGGGTCCAGCTGTTCTTAATTTTTAACAGATATTTGCCTGATATTTCCCCATTATTGTTAGATCCATATCTGAAGGCAGCAATGTTGAAAGAGGATTTACCACCCACTCAGGGAGGGTGTCCTGGTGGAAAGGTCACTTAAGTGCAAACCCTCTTAGAACTGCTAGATGCTATATAGCAAAGTTTAAGGGGCGTGTGTGTGCGGTACATATATATGGCAGCAGAAATACCAAAGCAGAAGCAGAGACTGAAAATCTTGCAGCTTAAACAGAACACCAAATCTATAGGATGGGTTTATCACGTGATTGTGAGAACAATGCATATCAAGCGCAAAGTCAGCGCAACCCAAGTTGATTGCCTGAACTTGTGCTCAGGTTTTGGTCCACCCTTCAAACACACCTTCTACAGCTTTCCTTTGGATCTAAATCTGGCCTCCCTCTCCTTTCTCCATCCGCTCTTCTCCCTCTATTCTCTGTCTGGACCTGAGACAGTTCAAATCCTCCAAGGAGCTACCCCAACATGACTATAATCAATAAAGTTTACCTTAATAAATTGAAAGATTTCAATCAATAAATAATCTTAAGACCGCATGTTGTCGATGGTGCGGTCTAGTTCTGAGAAATTTAATAAAACTATCTTTTTTTTTTTTTTTGTAAACAGTATCCTCAACATTTCTATATTAAAGCTTGTGAAGAAACCAAAGTTGGGAAAACAGCTTCTCTGTTCTTGGAGACACTGAGCATGTGCATGCATGGTTACTGCTCTGTTTTTGTTCCCGGGATGGCCAGGAGTGTGTGCGCTTGTGTGCGTGTTTGTGTTTGTGGTGGCAGAAGGGGCATGTGTATTAGAAAGTCCTCAATTTCACACATGCTTAATCTTGAGTGAGTTTGGCGTGAAGGATTTGTGGAGGAGTGTGTGTGTTTGGGAGTGGGGGTGGGTAAGGGAGGAAATTGGGGAGGAGAAGAGGGGGAAATTGGGGAGGAATCAAACAGGATGCTCTTGTTTAATGGACTGACAGGAGGAACTTTGGTCTGCTGTGCACTGTGTCAGTGTTTTTATCTTCAGCCTCTTTCCTTGAGGAGGAGATCGAGGGTGATTGTCACATGGGGAGAGGCGTAACACCAGCATTTCCACTCGTCAGGAGTCACATGATCCTTTTAAGTGTTGACCCACTTCCTCCTCATGTGGTGATTTTTGGGGCTTTAAACATATGCTTCTTGTTTATATGTTTGTTTGTTTTGTTTTTTTGTTTTTAAAAAAGAGGATTTTGAGGTATGAAATTAAAATTTGCCCAGATAATATTTAACTGCAATGTTTTCTGACTTGATCTAATTCTCCTGTATTTTAGGCTTGTTGTTATTGCTTTTTGACACTGTAGAGGGAGTTGTGGACATTTTTGCTAGCACACACAAGTGTTGAGAAACTATGTTTAATCTTCTGCCCAGATCCTGCTGGTGGGTGCTGGGGCTGAGAGTAAGCACAACATTGGTGTAGGACAGGGATGGCAAAGATGAAGCAGAGGTGTGACCAGAAATCTTACCCCTAAATAAACCACCAATTTGACAGGATATGTGTGTTAGATTACTGTGAAGAATGATGCAACTCCAAAATCTTAGGTTGCCTGCCTGAACTAGCTCACAGGTGTCGCTCCTTTTCTGTAACTTCATAGAGTTGTGGATTCAACTCTGTATTTCATTTCTGAGAGTTATCCTCTTGTATAATGTTTTGATGTGCTGGTAAAGTTGAGGCAACACAGTGCAGAGAGTGAGAGAATCAGCCTTCAGTGTTGGGAGATGAATGAGTCAAACCTGCACTGGTTTGGCAAACAACTTTCTGTGGAGGCCGCCACTCTGCTGGTGGTAAAGTGCAGAACCTTGAAGAACAATTCATTCTTCTCATTTTTCTGTATTTGTAGTCTGTTTTTTAATGTGCCTGTGATTTCAAAAACACTGGTAAAATAAGGGAAACCTTGGTGTCTTTTATGCTCCTTTTTCTAAGAAACACTTGCAAAAACAGGCTCCACAAGAACAACAGTGGGTTCTCTGTATCCTTTGGTTTGAGAAAGGCTTTCTGGTGTGACAGAAGTCTCTGAGAAGTGGCATGAATTACTTGTTTTGTGAAAGTAGACCATGCAGTACCAGAAATGTAAAATATCTGGCATGCTGAGTAACAATGACTCGTGTCACTGTTTAAAAAGGTGAGATTTGACTCCAGGATATGACCAGATAAATAAAGTAAAGATAAATTCCAGACAAACTGTGCATCAGTTTGGTAACGCTGGCTGATGTGACGGATGAAGATTCAGTGTGGCTGAGAAGTGTGGGAGTAGGAAGACAGGTCGAGAGGGAGTGTGAGAGGGGAAGTGTTTAGGTAGATCAGTAAGCAGCCTGGCAGATAGGAGGGCTGTGAAGCGTTCACTGTGGGAATGAACCTAAACACTAAACACTGACACCCCTGTAAAGACCCCCTCTCTGTGAACCAACTCTGGAGGTCTTGGAAGTGAGGTCAGGGTCCTGGGATTGGTTTCAAAGATAGATCCCTGTGATAATCACCAGACCAATCCTTTCACTTGTCTAAAACACTCTCATAGAAGTAAGACGTGGCAGTATCTTGTAATGTCGTGATGTAATGTAAAGTTGAAGTTTTAGCCTAATTGACAGAATCTCTTCAAGGTTAATGAACCCTCTGCATCTCAACCGGGTCTTGTCTCACCCTGTCAGATTCATATATCTAACGAACTGTTTTCCCTCACTCATTGAACCATTTTTTCACGCAGCTACAGACAAAATAGTTAACCTCGTTCCATGTTGGCATCTCAAAAACCTTATCCCTCACTTGTTGAACTCTTTGCTCATGTGGTCTCCTCCTTCTTTCCCAACACCTTACAAACTCCCATCAAAATTTTCATTTCTTGGAAACTGTTGGTGTGTTGTCCATGCACTGTTTCCAATCACTAACAGTTCTTAAATGATTTGCAACCATGAAAATCTGTTTGTATTTACATTTCACACATGCATCCCAATTCTTATTGAATCAAGTGGTAGAATATCTGGACCAAACTTATTAATCCAGCTAAAAAAAAAATGAGCCAGAGTCCTCCAGTTGGTGTAATTCAATTTGCACCTTTATTTCATTATGATGTCCATTTTCTTGTTAACTTTTATTAAATACTGTTCACAGTAAGATTATTCACTCTTAAAATAATTATCTTTTCCTAATACTCAATGATAGTTTTCCCACACAGTCACTTTCGAGCAGTTTGCCCGATATATTCAACAAATATATGTCTACATTATTCTAAAAAGCCCTCTGTAACCTGATAATTTCCTTTAATTAAAAACTGCTTTAACTTAAAACATGTCAATTAACACTGAGGGGAGGCTCCTTTAAAAGTTTACGGTGCTTTAGGTGGATCTGGTGGAACATGTTGTGTGAGGGGACCGATGAAAACACAATGAGATGGCCCTCAGCGGGGCCCTCCACACTGCGACGTCTCTGCATGGTTAGAAAGCGAGATGCCCAGGATAAGATAGGGCCTGTCGATAAGATAAGGCAAGTCTTTTCAAAGTGATTTCCCACACAAGCTACGTGCTGTATTCAATTTAGATGGTGAGATATGCATGAAATAAATTGGATTTGGAGGGTGAAGATAATACATTTCTACATTCCCAGTTGTTATTTTGAGAGCGATTTCCATGCTTGAGATTGGTTTGATTTGTTTATCCTGGCTCTATGGCTTGTAAAATGATGAGGTGAGGATTTGGATGACATGCAGCAGCTGGTTGGTTGGTTGGTTGTTTCTGGACTGATGGTGGAGGTGGAGGTGTGAAGTTGGTCTCAGCAGCCACCAGGGCAAGCAAAGGCATCTCTGAAGTCTTAACAAAACCCCTTCTTCACTCCAAATACAAATAACATCAAACATATTTCTTGCCTTATATGCTTGCACAGCCTGTATAGAAATGTAATGGAGCTGCTATGAATGCAAAACAGTCACATCATAAAGATCATTGAATTACGGTTTATTAAACCCCTCTAAATACACTCTTACATGCTGTGCTATTTTATGTTCCTTCTCTTTCTCCTCCTCTAGTGCACCATGCCTGTACTGCTCTCTGCCTGACCGCAGAAGGGGATTGGGCACAGGTGAGCCCAATCAGCACTCAGGAGCAGAGTACAAAATCAGGAAAGCAGGGAGAGCCGGCGTCAGTGGGTCATGCTGCTGTTGAAGTGAGGATGGTTTTCATTGAGGCCTTTAAGTAACTTGAGATAAAAAGAGTAGAAACCTTGCAGACCAGATCAACATAGTGACATCTTTTAAAGTACTTTAGATTTTCAACATCATAATGACTGCAATGACCAAATTTCAAGGTAGACAGGGTATTCATGAACATGGAGGAAGATCTGTACCACCTTGTCTCTCTGTGAAGGAGCCTTTCCAAATGAGAACTAAGGTGGCTCCATGAGTACTGGCTGTAAAGGGATCACTGGATAATTTGATGGTTGTGATTTCTTCTCTTTAGGCTTTTTGCTCTGTCCAGTGAATCTTTATATGAACATGGAATGATTTAGTATATCCCAAATCCAAAATCACACATTACATGTTTTAGTTTTTTTTTTTACCCATGCAACTACTTCCTTGAGAAACTTGTTTGTTTTTGGTTATCGTGGTTTTTAGCTTCTCCTCTGTTGTCGACAGCTTTGGTGGTCAGTTTATTTAAGCACACGTCCGCTATGGGAAAAGGCGATCCCTTGGTGACAGAGCCTTCAGTGTGGCCGCCCCTCCTCTCTGGAACTCTCTCCCCTCTGAGATTCGCCAAGCACAGACTCTTGACTCTTTCAAGTCTGCTCTGAAGCGACACTTGTTTATCCAGGCTTTTGGTATTTAGTTTTTGTAGTGTGTTGTTAAGCGCCTTGGGTATCCTGAAAGGCGCTATATAAATGTAAGATATTATTATTATTATTATTATTAAGATCCTTGTTTCAAAACTCAGATGAGACCTCATTTGTCTTAACCTGGCTCCAAAAGTATGTGGCAAATGGAGACTATGCAGGATTATTAAGAGTGTGTTAGTCAGTGTGTATGAGTGCAGGCCTGTTTTAAAGAACCCTGAGCACCGCTTGTCATGGTGTGCTGCTTTTCTAGAAAGGCCTTAAACTCTACCCACTGCTACACTGAACTAGAGATCACAGGGTAAAGGTAAAGAGAAAGAAAAATGCAAATGACAGAAGAAGAAAAAAAACAATGTTAGGCTAATTGTCATCATGTTTTTGGATGTTTGAAGATGGCTTTAAAGTTTCAAACATCTTGGATGTTTAATGATTAAAAATGTTGATGGAAATTTAATAAAGAAAGTTCTTTATAGACTAAAAATTTTGGGATTACAGTGTCAGATATCTGGGCCCATATTTTCCACATGAACCTGGTCCACACACACTCCCTCACACCCCCTCCTTCATTGCAGACCTAATGAAGAATTCCAGTTGCCAGGCTGGGCGGGCGCAGCTCGGACAGTGGGGATTTTTCATCCTGTAATGTTGGCACGGGTCATTAATTGTGCCTTGCCATGAGACCAGTGGGCTTGTCATTTGGGTATAGCACCTCTATACATCTCCTAAACCCCACCCACTCCACACACACATATACACCCCCCCACACACACACACACTTACTTCCCCTTGCTCATCCTCTGGGTGTGTCAGGGTGCACGGGTGGTCTGGACGCCCACCCGTGCACCCTGCACAATGGACTGACCCACTTACTGTCACTAACTGATGACCCCTCCCTCAGGGTTTAGACATTCATGCTCACTGACGTGTTCATGGAAAAGACAGGGAAATACGTCATCCTAATCCAACTCTGTGTGAACTCAAAATGGGCTCTATGGACTGAGTCTTTGGTGTCACTTAATTGTTATTGTTACCTTTCCTACTAATTAGCCAGCTGTATAGTTGATCCTGATTGATCAAAACACCATAAAAATGGATCCTAGTTCTTATACTGCTTTCCAGTTGTACTCAAAAGTCGGAATTTCTGAGATCTGAGTCGGAAATTCATCTGGAATGCCCCCCTGAAGTCGGATTTCCGACTAGGAAAGTCAGACGATCCTCACCAACCCCGACTTGACAACAATGTCATAATCCAAGATGGCAGCGCAGTGCATCAACAGTAAAGAGTAACATGGAAAGCTCTCATAATGTAAAATTTATTAGCACTTCTGTTTTGTTTTTGTGAAAATAAATAAGTGGTATATGTTGTACTGCCCAACGTCTAACTGTGAACACTGTGCTATGGTGTTTGTAAGAGTAAAATACTGTATTATTATGCGTTGTATAGCCAACAACAACCAACAACAGCTGACAATCACTAACAACAACTGACAACAGCTAAGGACAGCTGACAATTGTAAACAAGAGCTAACAACGGCTAACAGTAGGCATCCATCTTGGTTTTCCTACTTGTTTACTGGGACGCCGGGTGTAGGGTCATTCCCAGCGCTGACATCAGACTTCTGAGGTAACGCAGTATTCGTAGCAAAATCAACAGTGGAACATTCATATCACACACACCATATCAAATCATTTCAATGAAAAGGATCCGGCATGTGTCATTTCAGCCTGTTGATGCTGTGGGGAAAACATCATTTTCCAGTTAGTGGGCATTTAAGGGAGGGCAGCTACTGGACCCCAATCATCTCTGATAGGTAAAGGTAGAGCAACATCTTGTCCTGCAATCCATGCAACAACAGCATTTCAGTAGAGCTGAACACCACCCACTAAGTTGTTGCTGATATGAGTATAAATTTATATATTTAGTTGGTAGGTAAGCAACAAGTAGGGATGACATATTGTTAGCCGCATCAGGGTCGTGATCCTGTTAGGACTCTATTTTCACTGGTTAATTATACACTCACCAGCCACTTTATTAGGTACACCTGTCCAACTGCTCGTTAACACTTAATTTCTAATCAGCCAATCACATGGCGGCAACTTAGTGCATTTAGGCATGTAGACATGGTCAAGACAATCTCCTGCAGTTCAAACCGAGCATCAGTATGGGGAAGAAAGGTGATTTGAGTGACTTTGAACGTGGCATGGTTGTTGGTGCCAGAAGGGCTGGTCTGAGTATTTCAGAAACTGCTGATCTACTGGGATTTTCACGCACAACCATCTCTAGGGTTTACAGAGAATGGTCCGAAAAAGAAAAAATATCTAGTGAGCGGCAGTTCTGTGGGCGGAAATGCCTTGTTGATGCCAGAGGTCAGAGGAGAATGGCCAGACTGGTTCGAGCTGATAGAAAGGCAACAGTGACTCAAATAACCACCCGTTACAACCAAGGTAGGCAGAAGAGCATCTCTGAACGCACAGTACGTCGAACTTTGAGGCAGATGGGCTACAGCAGCAGAAGACCACGCCGGGTGCCACTCCTTTCAGCTAAGAACAGGAAACTGAGGCTACAATTTGCACAAGCTCATCGAAATTGGACAATAGAAGATTGGAAAAACGTTGCCTGGTCTGATGAGTCTCGATTTCTGCTGCGACATTCGGATGGTAGGGTCAGAATTTGGCGTCAACAACATGAAAGCATGGATCCATCCTGCCTTGTATCAACGGTTCAGGCTGGTGGTGGTGGTGTCATGGTGTGGGGAATATTTTCTTGGCACTCTTTGGGCCCCTTGGTACCAATTGAGCATCGTTGCAACGCCACAGCCTACCTGAGTATTGTTGCTGACCATGTCCATCCCTTTATGACCACAATGTACCCAACTTCTGATGGCTACTTTCAGCAGGATAATGCGCCATGTCATAAAGCTGGAATCATCTCAGACTGGTTTCTTGAACATGACAATGAGTTCACTGTACTCAAATGGCCTCCACAGTCACCAGATCTCAATCTAATAGAGCATCTTTGGGATGTGGTGGAACGGGAGATTCGCATCATGGATGTGCAGCCGACAAATCTGCGGCAACTGTGTGATGCCATCATGTCAATATGGACCAAGCTCTCTGAGGAATGCTTCCAGCACCTTGTTGAATCTATGCCACGATGAATTGAGGCAGTTCTGAAGGCAAAAGGGGGTCCAACCCGTTACTAGCATGGTGTACCTAATAAAGTGGCCGGTGAGTGTATATTATCCCTTTGATTGTACAAACTGGGTGGACACATTGGCTTGACTTGTGCAACACAGTTATCATACTGCATGTGTTGAATATATGTCAATATATCTTTTTTTTTTCTTAATACTGCTCTCCAAACAGTTTAGCTTCCAGTCTGTCCAACCATTCCCCTAACTCTAGACTCTGTAGTAGTGCTAATGACACTAATACTGAATTTTACCCCTGTGGTCAGCATAAACTGATCATTGTGGTGGTTAGGTTCATCCAGAATCTAAATTGTGAAATTTTGGGGCACTCATTCCTTATGGGCTTACTTTGCTCCCCTGTGCACATTTTTAACTACAAACAAGCTATACAAATATACTGTATAATTCTACTTACCTACCGAATGGCTTAGTTGCCCTGGCCTTTCTTGTTGCCTCAGATTGGCTTCCAATAATAAGGTTTAAGAACAAATATGGAGCATTACTTTACATCAGTGTATTGTAATTGGTGTGATATGCAACATGACAGCATATGGTGACAGGCTGTTTTTGGGACACTTGCACTTCTTTTTTATTGAGATAAATTTCTTAAAATCAAACAAATTGCCCACAATGACTTTAATGTTCATCCTGCTTCCCTTTCCATTCCTTTCTTCTCTCGCTGTTATTAATAAAACTAGATATTTGTATAAACACAGAATCAGCTCCTTCTAAACATGCCAGTTCCAGCATGCTCACATGTTAAGAATAGCTCAGTAGGTGTGTGTATGACAGCACTAAGACCGCTTTTTACACACTCTGGCATCAATACTGACAGCTTATCGCTACCTCACAGCGCGACCTAAACAAAGCCTTTATTTGTCTCCTTTTTTGAGGGCAGAAAGAATTCCCAAATAAAGGAAATGGGCTCTTAGTTTCTCCGGCATTAGGGAGGAGGACAAAGAAAGTGAGCGAGACAATCAGCGGAGACCCCGATGAACAATTTCAGCCTTATTTATTGGTTTTTGGGATTTCCACGGCTAATTTGCTGTGAAATGCAGCAATGGACATGGAGATAATTTCTTGAACAAAACCTCCAGTAATTAGTGTGTGGCCAGATTCTGGAGAGCATCCCCTGGTACAACTCTTGCTGGCTTTGGCTCAGGGCTGGCACAGGAACAGGAGGAGCTACTTTTATCCCATCCTCCTCTCCTTAAGATCCTTCTTCACCTCCTCATCATCCTCACCCCTCCTTCTCGTTGTCATTTCCCTTTGTCTCATCTCTTCCCAGCAACAGTGAGTGATGTCTGCCAACTTGCTGTTAAAATATTTGTGGGCCAGATGCAGTATTTAATTTGCAAATATGACGCCTAATGCCTGAGGGCTGACAGCACTGTTACTGTACCTTTAAATCGTGTCGTGAAGATGGCAAAGATAGACAATACTAAAGCTAGGTGATGGAAAGTAAGAGTTAAGACAGACAGATACAGTGTTTTCTGAGGAGTTTTCCAAATTGACCACAGATGATCTTCATAAAATCAAGAAGCTTCAGTTTTAGTCCATATTAGTCCGAAAGAGATTTGTTGCTATTAGCAGATAACCTATGGTTTGAAGTTCCAGAGGTGATGGTGGCCATCGAAAACGAGAAGCTCCTGTGATGCATGAGAAGTTTGATCCCCCATTTGTCAAATTAGTCCAGTGCACTGGTAATGGAGTAGTTTGAGGTTGCAGTGTGTGGCTCAAAGACCCTTAATGTTGGAGTTAGGGTCAATCTATCAATATTTCAACTGAGACATGAGTCTTTTACGACAGACCCACAGCCTACCCAATCAACCAAAAAAAGTTCACAGATTTTGGAGAAAATTAGGTCCAGGAGTTCGTCCCTCTTACTGGGGTACTTAACTTAAAAATCTGTTTACTGTGCTTTATGCCGGACAAAGGAAATAACAAATGAGCCAGCTGTGTTGACAACTTGATTCTGACTTTTCATAATGTCCTGACAGCCCCTTAACAACAAGAGCAACTTTAGAGACAACCTGATTACACTGCAGAGAAGAGTTCAGGCATATTGAGGCCCGGTCCCTGTCTGCATACTAACCTGCAGGGCTTCATAACATGACTAGTGTGTCCTGCTGGAGGACGCAGTTTTTACTGATCACTTCAAAGAAACTTGAACCAGGGGTCTCAGTGATAGTAGCAACAGAAGTAAAAGTTGTGAGCTTTGCCTTATTTATGTTAAAAGGTGTGTTAAATGCAAAACTCCCAGAAGTCAATATTATATCCACGCACAAGACCTGTGTACCTCGCCTGTTACAACTTTCAATGGAAGTATCCCATCTAATGCACATAATAACAAAAAAGGTAGTATTCCTGCAGAAGGTCCTTTTACTCTTTCTAACATCATCTACACAAAATTTTTATCGAATAGGCGTGATAATTTCATTACTTGAGTCAGCTGACAGTTTAAGTTCTTGTTGTATCAAGACGCGAAAAAGAACACAGAATCTATGACCAGGTTAGAGCTACTAACCGTGGGTGTGATGGAACTTTTGTTTTAATTAATGCAAATGCAATTTTTAAGTCAATATAATTGCCTTCACATCAAATTTTAGTGAGTAAATAAAGTGAGTAAATACAAAAGCTAGCATCATGTATTTAGCCCTCAGAACAGGGACTGTGGCATCTTGAAGCTAATTGTTTTCATTGACTGAAATGTTTCCCTCTTTGTGAATTCTCTCTGCTCTCATCAGCTTTGTTAAAACATCAGAAAGTGTTTTATTTCAGCAAACAGAAAAAGTTTGACAATAGCTCACCAGATGGTTTTAAAAATCAGAGTTAAAAAAAAAAAGGTCCATGTGTTAAAAAAGTTGGAATTATCCTTTAAAAATGGTAATTCTAGTGGGTGTGTTTCATTGGTGTCACTGCTGGTGGATCAGATGGAGACACATGATGGGAGCGTTTATATTTCAAAGCGTTGGGCTCGTTGGTTGGGGGGATTGTAAATAACAGAGCAGGGGGGTCCCGGTTAACATCTGCAAACTGCCTTGGCAGAGGCGGACCTTCCTCTTCCTCCTCCAGCTCTCCATCCCTACTGTGGCCAATTAAGTGAATTTCAGCAAAAGAGCATTTTATTAGTATTTGCCCACAGCCGCAGAACACAGCAATAAATTCTTCCTTCCAGCTCTTTGGAAAACAAATTGGCACATTAACCAGTGAATGGCTGGAAGAGGCTCTCTTGCCCGTAGCTCCAGGGCTGGCCAGGGGATCTGCGAGTGTGCCGATTCAGAGGCAATCTCTCTGCTTTATCATTCAGCGTGACAGTATGGGGCTGGAGCGCAGGACTCAGATGGGGGCGACCGATGCCAGATGTCAGCCATTAGCTCTTTCTCTCTGTAGCTGCTCTCTCTACATGCACAAATACATACGCACGCCCTCCAACATTGACTCCCTCTGTTCCCTTTGGCAAGCCCAAGCTGTTTGCTTTTGTGGCCTGACGAGCCCTCTCTATTTATCTGTTATTATATTGGAATTGTCAGATCCAAAAACCAAGAGGGAGCCCGCTGTGTGTGCCAGCACTGTTGGCTGCAGGTCTGTGTGTCTCCTCTCCGACCCCTCCTTCATTCACACTCACTCCCGCTATCGATCAACTTCAATCTGACGTGAGAAAACCACACAGCCTCTCTGTCTGTGTGTACACTGTATGTGTGTGCGCGCATTTTGTATACACTACCAGACTCCAGCTCCATTTGCATTAGCAGCTAACTGACTTTTTGCCTCCCACCATCCTGCCTGGCTTCATGCCCCCCCTCTACCCGCTCCACCACTGCATCAGAGGGGCTTTCAGCAGTGCTAATGAGGATTAGCATGTTTGTGTTGTTTATATGTGTGTCACCCTAATCCTTTTAGCAATAAGCTGTTTTGCAGGAAGTAGGAGTAATTTATGCATGGCACATGTTTCGTTGGGTTGTACATTGGCAGGATGGACATCCACACAGGCTGGTGCAGGATGATGTTTGACAACTAAAGATCCCATCAGTTAATAACCCACGACGTACAAATAAATATCCAATAGCTGCCAGTAATTGGTACAACAAGTGGTCTCTAGAGGTGGGCTCAGTGTAACCACAGAGATACAGACCTGGCACATACAGTGCAGTAAAAGAAATTTGAGAAATGACACTTTATTCTTGTGTGTCTCTGCCAAACAGCCAAGTTGCAGTTTGCATCCATGTTCCTATTAGACAGATCCTGCAAGGCTGAAGAGATACTTGCTGTCTGTGCTTGTCTGCACATGTGTATTCGGCTGATGCATGAGCATGATTGCTTTACAAACTGAACACCTTACCAGAGGATACCTTTAGGGGGCACACCAGAGTTTAGGCCATATGCAACTACTGGCTATATTTGAAAGATATAAACAAGAGAGATGACAGATCTCACAGAGGTTACAGTCAGAGTTGGGGACTCAAGTTTTAGACTTGGACTCAAGTCGCACTGCCTTGACTTCAGACTTGACTCACTGAGCTTTCTCACTCATGGACCATGAATATGAAGGCTGCTCATGCGTAACTACAGACAAGTTTGAGTCCATCTTGATCTGTATACACCACTATCCAAAATCAAAGAATTACCAACACTGTTTGTTCCTCCTGCCTGTGTACACTGCAAAAAGCTGAAGATGTACATAGCCAGATTTGGGGCAGCTATTGTGTGCAGTTACATGTAGTTAACATCTACGAAATAAATCTAGATGGGACTTTTTTATAGTTTCATCTTTCAAAAGAAAAAAAAAAAACAAAACAAAAAAAAAAACATACCTAAAGAAAATAAAAGTAAAATAAAATAGATTTTGTGTGTCTGTCGTAGGCAGTCATAGATTTTCTTTGTGCTCATCCAATTAACAGAGAAGATTTTAAAGGAGGTGAATTTGGAACCAGTAAAGCAATATATTTCAAGTAGGACTAATCTATTTCAAAACAAAAGACCTTAACCCAGAGTTAAACATTTAGATTTTTTACTGATTTGGGACTTTTTTGTATTGGATAAGTTTTCAGATAGTTAACAAATAAAGTAAAAGCATGAAAGCATGTTTTTAATGGTGAAACATAATCTAATTATGACTTATAAGAAAGGTGAGACTCAAAGTATTTGTGCAGAAATTTAAGACGCTTTTGGAAATCCTAATATCCTGACAAGACGACTGGGACTTCTATTCAGAGGCATTGTGAAGTCCTGTGTACAGATGTTATTATCCCTCTTTTTAACATTCAAAACATTTGAGAAAAATTGTATTTAACATTGTGTTTGTATTCTGAAGTTATTGGGAAACTTTTGAAACCCTTTGACCACAACTTTGTAGTTTAAAGAAGACATTTAATCCAAATTTGAAGATCCATTCAGGTGTTGTGGTGCAAATTAACCTACTATTGTAGCTTTATACATATGATATAAGGGGGAAAAAGTAGTGTGAGGCAAAAATTTTGAGCTGTCCTGATGTTTCCGTCTGATTTCAAATGAAAACTTAAGATGCTGTAATCTTGCTTGCACTTTTGTCTGGATTGGGACTTCCTTGCATGTGAGACACAGGGATATGGGACCCAGTCAATGAGTCCTGGTGGTTGTTGGAGAAAAAGGTGCCAGGCCTGGGCTGTGGGCCCTCTCAGTGTCAAGCCCTGTCAGTCAGAGCATGCTGCTCCCCCTGGGGCTTTCATCCTCTCCAAAACCCCGGCCATCCCCTCCTCCAGTCCCCACAGGCCCATCAAAGGCTGAGGCGCGCAGCCAGGGACAGGTGGGAGGCAGGGGAGGCAGGGGGAAGGCTGAGGAGGCCGGTGAGCCAGCATCTGAGCCCAGGGAGGGTGCTGGGCTCTGGCCAGTAACTGAACTGAAAATAGTCCTGCCCTGACACGCAGGCCTGAAGGCGCATGTGGCTCCAAAAACACACAAATACATACACATACACAGTTGGAGAATTTACCTTGCACCAACAAACACATGCAGCACAAGGCCATTAGATTTTAATGGGATCCATTCATTGATGTTATGGCTCTGCTGCATCAATAAAACATTAAAAAATGTTGAGGCGACACACTTCATAAATCTGTTTAACAACACACTATTTCGGCACCTGCAGTGGACATAACTCCGTATGGATTTTATAGACATATACTGTACACAGTATACTGCAATAAAGTGGGAGCTACATCTGAACAGGCAAAGGCATATAACTTCAACTCATAACATTGCTGGATTGAGTCTATCCTGGATGCTCTTTTAGAGGCCTTTACAGATCCCCCTGGACTTCAGGGCCTGAGATTTGCTCTGGGATTCATACTTGTTCATTGTTATTTTATTCACTGTCACGTGGGTGCAGGTCAGGTTCTATTCTCTTTGCTTGGGTCTGGGGTCTGATTCTCTTTACTTGCAGCATATATGGGGATCTAAGAATTTTAGTGATCTGCACTGATAATGATAGAATCGCTGTCCAGCATTTGCATGGATATCAGGCAGATTTTTAATGAGATTAGAGGACTGCAACTTTTGAAGTACGACAGGGCTGGCACATCGAAATCAAATCAGGATCAAGATAGAAAATGCATTTTTTACAGACATGAAACCCCCAATTCTTCTGGAGTTAGAATGTTGTGTAAAATGTGAAATAAAACCAACATTATTGTGGTTTGCAAACCATTTATAAGCCTGTATTTGGTGTCAAGACGTTAGAATTTAAATAAAAGCGATTGTTTTCGGGAAAAGCCCATTTTAACTTTGATGCCTGTAACATGTTTCAAGACATTTGGGAAACGGGCCACAAAACACTGACAAATATGTGTAACACTTAAAAAAACACTTGTGGACATCATTAAACCAGATAGGCTTATTTGTAACAGGTTAGTGACACAACTGTGTATCAAAAGAGTGGCTAAGTCTCACAGAGATAATGACGCGAAGAAATTCATCATTCTGTGAGAGGCTGGGTGAGAAAATAGTTCATCAGTTCTGTAATATGGTTTCATTGTGTAAATACAAAATTTGGGATTTCATCATCTACATGAAATCATCAAGAGATTCAGAGAGTCTCAGTATAAAAAACAAGGTCTTACACCAAGACCTGATGTGACCCATATAAAACAAGATATGTCTCTGCACTGGAAATCACTGCATAGGCCAAAAATCCTGTTAAAAAACTATTTTCTGTGAACACATTTAGTGCTGCATCCACTCGCAGTTTAAAACTGCACCATGCAACGAAGAAACCATATAAACATGATCCAGAAACAGCAGGAACTTTTCTGGGCTGGGGATCATTTGAGATGGACTGAGGCAAAGTAAAAACTGTCCTGTGAGCCAACAAATCAAAATTTCACATTTAAGTTGGAATTTGTGGACCCTGCAACCTCACTACAAACAGAATAACCAACTGGATTTGTTTCAGGTGGTTATTTTTTCAGGTAGAAAATCAGAGCACATTTTAAAATCCGCCATTGGTGATGATATGAGGATGCAAAAGTGACCACGGCAAAGTGTACTTGTGGCAATATATACTGCCATTCAGGTGATGCCTTTCTTTTTCAAGACCCTGTGAAATTCAGATACAAGGGGCTAGGGGTGGGAGACAAAATCCATTTTTTTTTCACATTTAAGAATAAATCTTAAAAGCTGACTTACATGTGATTTGTATTTTTTGGGGAAATATGGTTCCTGGACTAATCAGTAGACAATCATAATCATTCAACTGTTTCACTGGTGTTAAAAATGCAGACTAAAAATCGAGAAAATCTACAGTATTGTGGAGTCGCAATTTAAATCGAATCGGCATCCAAAAAAATGTAGAAGAATCAAATCAGGAGAAAAGCATATCGTCTCAGCCCTAAAGAAGAGGCCATACTAGGCTCAAAGGTTTTACAGCAGCATGGCTTTGTAGTGATAGAGTGACCTGCCTGTAGTCCTGACTTGTCTCCAGTTAAAAAACATTTGACTCATCATGACAAATGAATTATGACAAAGGAAACCCCAAACTGTAGAGCAGCTGGAATTCTGTATCAGACAAAACTGGGAAGACATTTCAGGTAGAACATTTCAGACACTGACCTCGAGTGTTGTTAAAAGGGTCTTTTTCTAGCCTTTCTTCCTGCTCATGCAAAAGTTCATTTCTTTCATATTGCAGACAAAATCAGGTCAGATGGATACATCTTTAGGAATGGTATCATACACCAGAACAAACATCCCAACTCCATCAGGGTGCAGGTCCATCATCATGAACCCTCAAAGACCTCTCATGCTTTTGTTTCAGCCCTTCTGTGGAAGAGGGAGAAAAGCCAGTGTCCATCCTCCACAAAGGGTTAACTCTGTATCACACCGGTGAGGCCACTCAAGCCATCGAACCTATTTTCCTCCCGGTGTCCCAGTCCCCCGTCCTTTTTAGATTTTAAACTTCCCCTGCCACCTTCCATTTTATGCCGGTGTAAATGAGTTCCCCCACAAAATCTATAGTGCGTCTTTAAAAAGCGATAACTCTCATGGCGGTACCGTGACATTGACCCCCCTAGCAGGGCAGTTCCGGTTCAGTGCCCAGGCCTCATGCTTGCTCGAACACACACACACACACAAACATACAGGACACACTCATATATTCGCACACGCACACACACACATACAGGGCCAGACCCCAGGTGCACCAAGAGGAGCAGTTAAATTTCATCATTACCCTTTCTTCCCCGTGTTGGGGCTTTTTATAGGGCCTTTTTACGGCCCGCTCTGAAGGTGCCACTCTGGTCCCAACGGTGCACAGGAGAGAGATAGATAGATGGAGAGGGACGTAGAGAGGGGAAGACGATAGGGAAGGGCGGGAGGTGGAGGAAGGAGATCTGCACGAGAGGGGGGGGAATAAGGAGGAGGTGAGAAAGCCTGCATGAATGCCCACAAACATGCACACTGTCAGGCGTACAAGCAAAGCAAGTAGGGCACTGGGGAGCGAGAAAAAAGAGGTATGGCACGAGAAAGACTTGTGGGGGAAAGAAGAAAGAAAGGGAGAAAGGGAGGGAGGGAGGGTGAGAGAGTGAGGGAGAAAGAGGGCCATCAGTTGTCAGTGTGACTGCTGGCTGATATAAAAACAGTGGCGAGGGTGGCGGATAAGGCGGATGATGAATGGGCTGGAGACACTCATCCATCCCACTGAAGGATTTGCGGCCAGGGAGTCGTGTACAGACACATCTAAGAAAGAAAGGACTGTGTGTGTGTGTGTGTGTGTGTGTGTGTGTGTGTGTGTGTGTGTGTGTGTGTGTGTGTGTGTGTGTGTGTGTGTGTGTTTTAAGAAGGTGTGATGGACTGGCGATAGCAAGATGGGACAAGGCAGAAATAAGGCTTTCTCTGAAAATTTTCGTGTGTGTGTGTGTGTGTGCCAGACTGTGTGCTCACTGCTAGCTAGCTGCTACATGTCAGTGTTGTGCATGGATGCCGGACATGCTCATGTGCAGACTTCTATGACAAACCCCGATGTAGCAGCAAGGCGATGACAGGCCTCCACCCTGGAAGATATATGGCTGTGCTGCTGTCTAACTCTGTACAGGCCCATCCATATCCCTCACCGCTATCAGCACTGTCCAACTCTGTTTTATAGCACCAAACAGTGGCCATAATGACACTAGGACTCTGAACGTGTCAGGCTGGAGTAGATCGATTGGTAAACATACACACTTGGCTGAGATACACTTGTACATCATTGTCCTGATTTTCAGGGAGGAGCTGTAACACAGGTTGAGGTATATTGAACAAAAAGGTGTATTCAGGAAATTTCTTCAAATATGGGTATGATCTCTAACACTCAGGGGGCATAGAACTGAAATATGAAGATTTTTACAACAATTTGACCTCTACTAAAAAGAAAAACTTGCTCAGGTTCAGTTTACCAGTTTAACCCTTAAGACTCACAGTGTCTCAAAATAAGAATCATGTTTTTTTTTTTTTTTTCCCCCTTATTTCTAGAAATTTCAGATGGACAGATCATGAAATCTTGGTCTGATACTGATGCAAGTTCTCCACAGAAACAGTTTAGCCAATACCAATGTTTTTGCATTCCTCTTTTGTAAAATTGTTTTTCTGCTTTTTAAATGGGCTGTGAATTTTGAGGTATCGAAATAGTTACTACTGCGTCCCTTGAAGTCCGTCTTGAAATGTCTTTGTCATCATATAAGGTTATAACTCCATGGTTATTGTGGCCATGAAATATTACAATAACAATATCACAACAATATTTATGGACTTCTTGAAAACACAGTCTGTCAAATTACAGAGAGGCAAGAGAAGTAATACTGGGACATCCTAAGTCTCTACTAGTATTTCTCAGAGTCTTTGATATTTGTTATATTTCCACACTTGGCATTGTTTGTTTTTAATCAGTTTGCCCAGCAGGGGGTTTTTCTGCCTAGTTACAAAAAAACCTTTGAGCTTGCAATAAGGTGCATCAGCTGTGCAGATTTACATCAATGTAAGAAACATTAAGATAGGTAGATAAACATCAACTACTGACATTATTGCATGACGCATTACATGCTGATGTGCTAATATCAGTCAATAGAGCCAATATCCAATACTTGTGGTTATATAACCTGTACATTTTCATCACTGCTAATAAATACAATTGTAGAACTCTGTCTGGGGAGGAGGAGAGATAACAGGAGGACAGAGGATGGGAAGGAGTAGCAGCAGTAGTTGTTGTTGTTGTAACAGTAATGTGCAAATGTCCAGAGTTTTGAATAATAATAATAATAAGAAGAAGAAGAACTATAATGCACTTTACTTATGTATATGTGCCTTTCCAAACACTCAAGGTCGCTGTACAAGAGAGGGTTAAAACAAGACAAACAAATAAGTTGTCCACAAAATAATAAATAATAAAACGACAGTCAGGCTAAATGTGCTAATTTAAAAATATGGGTTTTAAGATGAGATTTTAAAATAGAGAGAGTTGATATTACAGATGTCTGAAGGAAGGGAGTTCGAGAGTCGAGGAGCAGAGCGACTAAAGGCTCTGGAGCCCATGGTGGTCAAATGGGCAGATAGGACAGTGAAGTTGAGAGAGGAATGGGGATCTAAGAGAGCGAGAGGGGTGCTGATGTGAAGGAGGTTGGAAAGGTACAGAGGAGCAAGGTTATGGATGGCTTTGAAGGTCAAAAGCAGAATCTTAAAATTGATGCGATAGCTGACTGGGAGCCAGTGTAGCTGCTGAAAATCTGGAGTGATGTGAATGCTGGATGGGGTTCTGGAAATGATGCAGGCGGCACAGTTGTGGACATACTGAAGTTTGTAAATATTTAAACTATCTGAAGTTCCTCATATACATATTAAATATTTGATCATTCATTTTTCTTTTCTGTACAAACAATGTTACTGTAATTTTTATTTCTTTGAGGAAAGCTTCCCAAAGGGCTAGCTAAAGTTGTATCTAATCTAATCGAATCTGATCTGAAAGACCAAGCTGTATAAGATACTTGTTTTTCATTGGTCAAAACCACATAACAGTTGTCAGTTGTCATATCAAAGTAACTTAAAACTATAGCGTAAGTGATGCTAGCAAGTATGTAAAAAATTGACTTTTTCATGTTTTTCAACATAAGCAGATAGAAGCCTGTATTTTCAATCCAATACAAGGATCGAGGATATATTTATTCTCAGAGTACAACAGTACTCAGGTACTTACATTGGCTCACTTCCTTCGGACTGCCCCTTTATCAACAAAGAAGAAATGGTGGTGGGATTCTTCCTTAAATCCACAGTTATTTCTTTTGCTTTTTAAAACATTGATCATTAAATAGCATGGATGACAATAAGTGTATCTGCAGGATCAGTTCATACTGTGATGGTTCATTCTCATTTCTGCTTCTTTCTAGCCGACTTATACTCTTTAAAATTATGATTATTTTCATGGATAGCCTGATAGCCTCATACTAATTCAGATCAATAGTGTGAATGTTTGCAAGAATACCTTCAACATGCCTCACAAAGCACACAGTTTCTGATTTGACTTGAACAGGAACGATATATATCTAAACACACCTGTCTGCTTAAATGTAAGTCCTTCTCCAAGCATCACCTAAATAGTTTCAAGCTGCACACAAACAGTGTTGCACCCTGACAGCCTCAATTAGCTGTGAGAGAGAACTGGTGATCCGCACCAAGAAACCCTGTGAGACATCAGTAAATTAAATGTCTTCTAAGTGTGTTTTGGGGGTTGTTGAAGGGGTTCAACCTTTCTGTCCATCTTCTGGAGGATAGTCCTCTCTGTGGATAAAGCATTTCTATGCATGTCTGTTTAAAAACTGTTTTTTGCAAAAGGCCTGTCCCCCTCCATGCATCCCTCACTAAAATCCAGAGTTAAGAAATTCCTCATCTTCCTTACTCTGTACATGTGGTCATTTATGGTCACCAGAGGATTACCCCCTTTAGATACTCCTGAGAGAAACAGCATGCAAGGAACTTAAAATTAAAAGGATTTTTATTGGGGAGGACATTCAAAATGTAATCCTGCAGCTCTGTATAAAAGACAGAGATCGGTTGTGTGGTTTGTCTGTGTAGTTCTCCAGTTCTGAGGCCTTCCAAGAGAAGTTCAGCCACTCTGTTCCCCCTCACCAGTGCCAATGTCACTGCCTTGTGTTTCATGCCAGCCTCAGCAGGCGCCGGTCCTCTGCTTGCACCCCATGCCCCGGGTCTTTGCAAACTCCCCCATGTGCATATGCTCCGTATGGTTCAAGCACTGACGCCAATTTTCCACCATCTGCCCATGCCCTGTACTTACACACAGAGGCAAGGTCTCCGCTGGATAGCGACCGCCACCCTTCACCTTGTCTGAGCGCAGAAATTTCAAATGTTAACTTGCAGCCCGCAGGAGTAGAGAGTGATCCGCAACCGCCATGCTGAGGAAACAGCAGAATGTGCTCACGTTAGGGGACAGAGAGTGAATTCGCATCTTCCATTTCATTTTGTTTCCCTTTTTCTTTCCCTGCTTAGTGTTTCCTCCCTCAGTTTCCTCCCTTCAATGCTTCCCTGCTTCTCCTCCTTTTTCTCTTTTTCTTCCTTTGCCTTCCCTCTTCTCCCTCTCTTCATCTAGCCTTCTCTCTAGCTCTGTGCTTCCCCCTTGCTCGGTCTTGCAAATGGCTGCCCGCCAACGGTTTGTCTGCGGAGAAAACAGATTTGAATGAAGAATGGAGACAAAAGAGGGAACAAAGAGGCAGTAAAAGGCGCTACACACAAAGAGACGTGTGCCTGTTGGAGACGCACAGTTTGTATGTAAGCGTTTTTTTTCTTATGTGTGTGTTCAAGGGTCTTTGCTGTACAGTGGGCAGCAGTCCAAGACTGGAGGGTAATCCTTTACCTCGGCTTTACCACTGGGAATGTCAGGAATAAGTCAATCATGATGATGCATGCACTCTGCTGACGACACATACACGTGTTCAAAGAATATCTGGAGCTTGCAGATGTGCCAGAACCCCGCTTTGCCGACATCAGGGTGCAGTTTATGATGATAGGCAGATACACACATCCATCCTCAGACACGCACACACACACGTAAAGCCATGAAGGCAAGGCCAGATAAGCAGATTATTTGAAGGAGGCATTATTCACTGTATGAATGCAATAATTGGTTTCATTATTTGGTGGGAATTTCAGCAACACTAAATGAAGCATTAGATAGTGTTTGGTTCCCCAAAGCAGGCTGGAGTTGGTGCGAGCTGCTCGCCCACCACAGGCCTGTGTTCACATGTTGTGTTTTCAGGCTCTTATCTCAAATCACAGCGAGCGAGGCTGCTTCTGCTGCTGCTGCTGCTTTTATTTGTTTAAAGGTGGTGTTTCAGAAAAAGAATTCAATATTTGGAGGATATTTTGTGCATTTCTTTACCCCACAGGATTGTCTGTCTGTCTCTGTGTGTATGTGTGTGTGTGTGTGTGTGTGTCCTGCTTTGTATGTGTGTATATTCTCTCTGTCAGGGAAACAGTGGTGGGCGGGCTGAGGGGTGGGGAGGCCTACTTTAACGGTCTTTTGAAGGAGATAAATGGCTTACAGATGGCCCAATCAATATATTTAAATGAGACACAGAGGCTAGCAATGAGCATTGAGCAGAGAGCTGGGGGCGAGGTGGTGGTGGGGCGAAGATGGTGGAGGCCAAAACACCTCAGGTCATGACTAGACGGACCACACAGCAAAGGTGCAACCTCAGATCTAGAAGCACTCACATATTGAGTGTTTTTTTTATGTTAAACTGCTCAGACACTTAACAATCTGACCTACACTTTCCACATTACATAATCACATTAAAAGATACATTTGACAGTCAAGGATTCAGATTTTTTTAAGGGTTGGATTATTTTTGCCTATAGAGACAATTTGAGTAACTAGAGGACAAGATACATACTTGTCCACGGAGGGTGCATAAAATTGACACAACGTTCTCACAGGACCTTTAACTACAATTATCAGTTAGAGGAGCCCTATCATGCTAATTGGTAGTTTAATTCATTCATATACTGCTGCAACATTGGATGTGTAAACCAAACATCAGCCAAGTTTTAAAACATGACTCACATGAAAGTTGGTGTTGTGCTCGTACATGTTTTTTAGTTCATTTCAGGATCATTGTGGAACTTGGCCTGAACCTGACATAAGGCTCAGCCGTCACATGCACACCCAGGAGATTTTCTTAATTTGTCCCTGCCTCAAAAGTCTATTTCATTGCTCAGTTTTTCCTCCACATTTCACTTTGTTGAATAAGTATATCAGTAACCACAACATAGTTTTTTGTGTTTGCCTCAAAACACAGTATGCCAGTGCGAGCTGGATTTGTGTCTCAACCTGGGGCTGTGCCATCTTTAAAGATCTTCTTCGTTAAGAATTACAATGTGTAAGTGACACTACTTAACAGCAGGTAATGAAACAACAGCTTATGTATAGTAAGAGCCAAGTGGGTCCCAGTGGCTAGCTGAAGATGTTTTTGTAAAAGGCGTAACTTTTGGGATGATTCATGCTTGCAAAGCTGTGTGAAAAGTAACACTCACAAGCTTGGTCAAACTTTATCTCAGTTGAAATTAAAGGAAGATGAAACAAGAGTTTCCATAGATGCCAGTATAAGATAAATATGAAGTTTTCTGAGCTGAAAAGCTACTCTATAGACTGACATACTGACCTATGAGTATAAACGTTGTATTTTTACAGAAATTCAGCCGCAATTTCTCGCTACTATAACTGTTTGAAAGTGTTAGAGAGTATGACTGGAAGTATAATGAACGCTTGGTTCTGTTATTTAGGGCGTAGTTGAAGGTTTCGATGAGCCATTATTTAGTGGCACCCTGTATTGCAACCTGCAACAAATTACTGAGAATTAACATTTGATCTCTTTGTGTTGTATCTCAGTAAAAAAGCACTTCACCAGCTAATATGTATGCCATACAAATACTGGCAATGCCAAGGAAAAGTACATGAATGCACAGCAGTGTGAGTTTCTGTAAGGTATTTAGTGTACTTCAAGTGATATCTGTACAAACAAGTCACTATGTATGCCAGATATCATTGTATTGGCCCTGCAGATTGAGCCCTTTGTGAACATTATCAGTTTGGTGTTAACTTCATTAGGTTGTCTTGGTAAGAGCCAGCATGATTTGAGTATATAAAGCCATTTTATTTCTTATGGATTCAACGTTATATTTGTTGTGTCTTTTCAAGTCTGCTTGAAGAGAGATTTTCACCACATTACTCAAAGACTTTTGGGGGTTGTATCTCCATCTCTATGGCCTGTAAGACATTTTATGCTGGAGTTGTGTTCACTTGTTAGGATTCAACCCCGGTGACCCTCTCTATTGTTCAACAGCTTGCTAGCCAAAACCCATCAGTCAGAGATATTGAAATAAAATCTACTCATTATGAAGTAAAGTTGACAGTTTTTTATTTACTTCTTGTGCCAAGGTTTGTTTTGCATGTCCAAGATCTTTTTTCTGTGCCAGACTCAGATACTAAATTGCCACTAAATCTGCAAAAGATGACTATTTTTCTGTATCTTTACAACTCAAATTGTAACGCTAAACCACAACTGCTCGATAGAAAATGATACAATGTTGTACGAGGGTTAAACTTGAGCTGCAGTGACTCATTTATCTTGAATAAATGAATCCCCAGGAGGTGTTTTTTTTCTTTCTCCTACTTTGATTTCTTTAAGGTTTGTAAGAAATCAGACGATATCGCCTCGTTTGATCCACACCATGCCCGAGAATTCTGGTTTTTAATACGTGCACAGGATCCACTATCATGTGCCATATGGTTCTGAGCCAAAAGATAATAAAAGACGATAATATAATATAGATAATGCTACAGAGAATAACCCATATCCCTAGAGATAAAGTTGTTGACTGACAAAGGCAGCTGGTTGAGAAATGGTTTGGGAATGATTCAGCCAATATGGAGCAAAAAAATAAAAGATAGTACAAATGAAAACTAGGAGTTGGGGGAGAGAGGGAGAGGACATATACCCAGTGTTACCAGTGCTGGAGGAGGGTGGTGGTGTTGATGAGGGGGATTCCCTGGAGGGGGAAACATGGCTTCCCAGTCTGGAGATAACATCCTCGCACAGGCTCTGCAGGAGAAACATAAAAATCCACCCAGACATTACCCAGGTATTTTATCATGCCCTATCAGATCCTATTCCAGCTTATCACGCTTTACACACACTTAAACACGGATACCCATTTCTGGACACATTGCTCACATTCAAATAGAAGAGGTGGAAAGGAGGGGGCCACATTTTCTACAAGATGGAAGAGCTCAGGTAGAGGCAGGAAGCTTCATCTTTTAACGGGAGCAATAAAACAACTCTGGGGATTGTGGGCAATGTGGTTTTAATCTTTTTTATAAACTCAGACCTCTGTTGGTACATAAATAGATGTGTTTCTTCTTATATACTCCGTACAACTGTTCAGTGAGTTTTGCCAATTTAAGTCACAAACAAGTTGACAACACTTTCACTCAAAGATGATTTTATTGATTCTTGCAGCCAAAACACAGCTGGAAGCTTTGTGTCTTTTCTTACCTTGTTGCAGGATGAATTGACATGAAACTGAACCTTTAAATTCACAGTAAAGGTAGACAAAAGCCTGCTCGACACAATCTTTGCAAAAACTAGGCAAATGTCACAACTACTAACCAGCTTTGTACTAGCTCTGTGGAAGTTGCGTGGATTACAAGACAGGGATGTTGCTCCATTGTTACCCATCGAAGGTGTTTGGGGTCCAGCAGCTCCATTCACTAAGGCTGTGGCTTCATTTTATTCAAACCTCTGCAAAGCACGTCAAAATATAGCTAAGCAACTATCATTTCAGTGGGATTTGTCAACTTTGGCGAATTGAAATTAAGTATTTCATATTAAATAGGGGGATTAGCTGAAATTTAGACAAATATCCTTTTAAAGCTGAGGTAGAAAGAGGTAAATATTAAGTGGGACTCAAGTCTTACAGTGTATTTGTGTGCACATCTATAGGGGTGTATATGGGTGTGTGTGTCATGAGGTCATGTGTCACAGACAGCATTAACAATGATCCATTTTAGCAGAGAATAAAGGCTTTTTCTTCAGTCACACCCCCGCTCACCTCCCCTCTCATCACCCTGCAGTCTGCTTCAGGCTTCAATCTCCCCTTGACCTTTGACCTTAGGTACAGCCAGGTGTTAACCTCACCTTCAAACCCCCTTTTCTTTTTAATCCCTGCTCGCACACACACTCAGACACACACACACATACACACACTTAGCCAAAGACATATTTACATTAGATGCTCAGAAATCTATTTGCATATGCACACAACAATACACACATACATTTACACACATATAAAAAAAAATAGAAAAGGCACCCAAACAAACATAATGTATACATACAAACAACCTGGAGCTGACACCATCACTACATCATATTCCCGTTTACTACTCAACAAGGACCTAAATGCAAATAATAGTTAGATACATGCAGCTCTAAAGAATGCATTAAAAACACATGCATCCACACACTGTACACACATGATTTAAGCTCCCACAAACACATAGAAGACACACACATATATATATATATGTACACACTCCCTCAGAGGGGTTTTAAAAAATTAGAGTAGCTCAAGTGGGAAAACAGTGTCCATTTGTCTTTGGGCTAATATGAGCGTGGCTGCATTAGAGACAAATAGCATCCACTTCCATTTCCTTTATCACTGTCAGGCCAATTAATAGGCCAAGGATCCTGTTACTGAGTCACTAGACGGAGGCGAAATACACACACACACACACACACACACACACACACACACACACACACACACACACACACACACACACACACACACACACACACAAAGAGAGCCTTTTCAGCTGCTGACCTTGGCTGCTCCTCCCAACACAAAAGACCCTAGAGATGGATGCCTCTTCGGAGAGCACTCGCTCCCTCAAAGGGGTGCTGACATCCTCCACACGCGCACACACACACACACACACACATTTACACAAGCATATTAACACATGCAAGTCATATTAAGATGCCACACTGTCAGGTCATGATGGTGTAAAATATGATAAAACAGGGATATTTTTGGACCTGAGAACTCAAATCAAGAGATGCACCTCAGCTTCAGTCCACGTTTCCTGTTCTGTGTGTCAGTTTTCAGTAAAAACCCCAGTTGTGGCATCTTCTGGCGGGGTTCATGTGCCTGTGATGTAAAGCTGCTCTGAGAGCGATGGAGAGCCTCTCCTGGCTTTAATGACACCGGGCATTTATCAACCATGTAGATTACAATGTCACTTGAGTGTCATCTGGAGGACAGATCCAGGCTGGGTGAGCCATGCATTCAACATACTGATGCACATTTGCACACACACAATCCCACATTATTATCAGAAGTAATGGTGATGTCATGTTTAATCATATTACGGAGAACACCGACTGGTTGGTATTCTTAATTCTTTTCTTCAACAAAACATTTTTTGTGTTGAGTGGATGGCTAAATGCCGGTAAAATCTAGTCTTTCTGAAGGGTTCTGCCTTTGAAAGGTACATTTTCTTACAATTTTTTTGCTCATGATGACCTTTTCAATGATAGAACGGAGCAAACCTAAATGATCTTGACCTTTCAGGCAAATTCTTGTGCTATTTGTTGTGATTTAATGCAATAAATATTTTTGATTTAGGGAAAAGAAAGCTGGTCATTGATACAAGGTAACTTACAACACAGTGATAATAGATAAAAAATATAAACATAATAATTCTGACATCATTGTTGTGTCATACCTTAAGTAACAGCAACAAAGAAAAAAACGTAAGTTTTAAAAGTTTGAGAGCATCCCTTTTAATGTAGACATGTGTAGTTTGTACTCTGTTGAGTTCAGTGTTCATTTTGGAATCTGTTTATGTAGATTGAGTTCAACAAACTTTCCATTTTAATCAAGGTTTACACATTTCTGTCATTACATTTTCTTTTCTCTCTTCAAACAAATTCAGTTTTTGGACCATGAAGCAATATCAGCACTCTATCAAATGTTGAAATCTGCAAAGTAAGATTTCTGTCCTTAAGACCCTCTGAGGCGTTTTTGAATCCACGTGAAAATGCAGAAACAACAGAAAAAGTTCACATAAGCAGACCAGACCAGTCGCTCATGATCGTGTGTAAATAGTCTGTCGCAGCAAAACACTATAAAAGAACATTGTATGCAGAACTAATAAGCGCAATATATTCATTCTCCATAACAATACAATACAACAGGGAAAAAGTTTTTGTCGCACACATTCAGTTCAACCTAACACTACCATGCAAACCAGCCACCCTTCATCTTGGTACGCGGGCAACATACAGTATATATAAACAACTGCCATGTGCAAATACGGTAGCATTCTGTTTTTGCTGTTCACATGTTAATGACTAAGTGGCATATTTGAAAACCTCTATTTCCAGTCAACTCAAACTCTGGTTACATGTACACCCCCTGTGTACAGGGTGAAATGAAAAGAACAAATTCAGTTTTCAAAAATAATTAACATGCATGTGGACAGGGTCCAAGAGTACCTGACTTTGGCAGACGCGTTGCATGCAAGTAAAAAAGAAATTTACCCTGTACCCCTCTTAGCCTATTACAGAAATACTTGAATTTTGACAGATTAGATGCATCACAAACATTTGAGTCTAAACTTTTCTCATTAAGGAAACTAAACCCACATGCATTACTTGAGTTTCTTTTGCTGGTACGGATTTGATTGGTTGACTGTTAAATATTCATATATATACAAAAAATTAACATGACCTTGCTGTAATTTTTCAAAGAATGCCACACTAAACCTTAAACATCCACAATATTCCCCCAAAAGAGCCACAGACTCCAAAAAGTTAACATCTAATGAAAAACAAACAGGTTATAGTATGGATCTTACTATTAACCAGCAGTCAGCCATCAGTGAAACAACTATGTGATACGACAAATGAACGTATCTGCTTTTTTCCCCTTGCATACTACATTCCACACACACGCACATTTCGTTAACACATTGATGATCCTGATATTCAATCAATGAAGATTAACTTGCTTAACTTGCCTAAGGTACGTCCCTTCTGTCCGCTGCTTTTTCCGAAGGAGGAAGCCCAAATACGATTATGCGGAAGGGGAAATTATGCCAAGATGAGTAGAGCTTAATATATGGTAATTATTTGACAGGATATACTTACACAGCGATTAGCATATCTCCAAGACGAGACAGAGATAGAGAGCAGAAAGAGAGGCAAGGGAGGGAGGAAGAGAATGGTGGGGAAGACGAGGGCGACGTGATAAGGATTTCTTTCTCTCTCGCTCTCTGACAGGGGCTGGTAGGAGACCCTGTGTAGGCAAACTGTTCTTCCATATGTACCTCCACTGATAAGCCATCTCTATAGGGGCTGGGCCAATGCTAAGCAGGCCTGACGTGCCTGGCATACCAGACAGACAGCACATGTCACACATATCATTCATTACACACACTCCAACGTGCACATTCTGCAGCAGTCGCATGGCACAGGCAAAAAGGTGTGGTGCGCGACAAACTTCACGTGTGGCGTTTCGCTGACATGCAAAAACACACTCCCGCACTCACAGTCAGCTAATATCTGTCTTCACAATACATGACTGAACATTTGCTGAACCACCCGATACAGACACACTGCAATCCATTACAGAGTGTTTGTGTGCTGCTGTAGTACATACATCTTACTGTCTACAGCTGTGTCCTATCGGCTTGGCCCTGCCAATACTCCCACTGTGGAGAGTATATTTGACTAATGCATGCCGTCCAAGAGCATAGATCCTTCACACACACAAACACACACACACTCGGTGAAACACACATGCTTCTTTCTGTTTTCTGCTCCTGAATCAGCTGCCTTATCGATTACAAAACAGAGAATCATACATGATCACATGTACATACGTGCACTTACAAGCGTGCATTGTCATAAAGGAGGTCTGATATGCCTCTCATTGGACATCTTGAGACATCGGTTGAAGTTGATTAGGTGACCATCTTTGTACCTGTTTATTGATGTTTGAGTCAAATTTTTCAACATTTTTGCTTTAATCTGTGCATCAAAGTGGGGGAAGACAAACTCGGTGGCCACTGAGGCAAAGGAAGGGGGACACAGTGACACCAGAGAGGTTCACACTGTGTTGTGTTGACATAGAGCAAAGTACATTACAGTACATACAGGACCTATGGTGTAGGTCTGTTGCAGAATTTTATAATATGTTTAAAGATGCTGTCTTCCTGCCATTTTTGTGTAAAACCCTGATTGTGTCTGTGTGAACATGTGCTGGCTTGTATGGATGTGTGCAAATGCGAGCCTGAGCATACATAAAGTTCATTTGTTAAGGGTAATAATGTTTCCATTTGTCCTAAAAGGCTTTGAGTGTGATCAAATCTTTAATGCATTATTGCGTTTGAATGAGACAGTGTTTGCCTGTCAGTCTTACATCATTATGTGCTGTATTATTATCAGATGAGGACATCAAAAGGGGATTAGCGTGTGTGATTTCTGTCTTACACACACCTACCATCCAGGCTGAGGCTGACCTCGTCCCAGTGCAGCCCCTCTGGTCCTTTCAATCATGCCTCTTTTTGTACCAATTGAATATTTATTGGCTTATTTATTCTTAATCACAGACAGCCGCTTGTCTGTCCCACACACACACAGACACACACGCACACACACAAACATACACACACAGTTAAATGCACAGCTGAACCCCTCTTCCTGGATGCCCCTGGCTATCTTTTATTGGGCCAGTCTGTAAGTTTGTAAGTGCCAGTCATTCAGTGAATGGTTTAACTCTGTGTAGGTTAGTCTGTCTGTCTGTCCGTCTGGTTTGCCTGTAGGTCAGCCGATCGATCAGTCGATGGATCCATCTGTCAGTCAGTCATTGATTTCATCTGTCAGTCAATCGGGCAGTTGGTCAGTTTAAATTACTTTATCCGTCGACTGACATAACATGGTACACTGACGTTTTCTTTTTTTGTTGTTTTATTTCCCTGCTTTTCTTTGCTCAGTTTAAACAAGACTGTAAATCATGATTGTTCCCAAACCTCATTCAAATTTCAATTTACAACAGGACCGTTGAAGTTGCCGAACCCCAATGAGTTATTTTTAACCAAAGAAAAAAAATATTTGTCCGTCAAATTTCTTTTTGAAAGTATTTGTTTACTTGTTGTCTAATATTTTGCACATAGTTTGGAGTACCATTGTATCCTTGCCACAGATTATCAAATGTCTAGGTTTTACCCAGGTCTATAGGTTGTGTTGTTTAATGTTTATTTTAAAAAAAACATCCTTTGTGTCTGTTTTAATTCTTATTTCTTTCTTCTTAGGTCAGTCCAGTAACCCTCATTAGGTTACATAAATTATCTGATGTGGAGATTTTGTGACACAGGGGACCTTTGCTCACTTGTACTACATTAACTCATGGAGCCATTGCTAGCAACAACCAACCTTTTAATCAATAGATAAATTGATATTTTAGCATGGCACTAAGCTACTATAAACTAGAAATAAAATAACAGTAGACAAGAAAAAAAATAACTGGGTTTGGATACACTTACAAGAGAAAAAATAATAAAGAGCAAATTCTGATACTTTACATAAACATGGAAAAATAAAACCTGCTCGGTCTGGGGTGGTACTATCCAGTCCAGAAAATAAACATCATGAGGTCATGCAAACTCTCTTAATCTAAAGGGAAATAAAAACTAGATCCAGATCGGTTTGATCATCAACATGATATGCCTTCATGTTAATGGTTACTCATTGATACTTTTCACTTAGTTTTGTGTGGCTTGACAACAATTGCATCACTTGATGGGTCACGAGAGGCAGTCATTTTCAGAAAAAACCAGTTAAGTCATCATGGTGGAGAGAAGAAAGTAGATGAAAGGCTACTTTCGGTAAAATCTACCATTGTAAAACTGACAGTTTCTGGTGATACACTGTGTGTTTCTTTGATATCCAGTGGCTTTTCGATCCCATAGAATGTGATCATGTATTTTCGGACATTTAGGATCCAGTCCCTCAAAAACAAAGCTAATCTGTGATGATCTGTGTTTTAGATTTATTGATGTAGTTTAACCTCTGTTGTGAGCTGACTATGCTAATGGAAGGCTGCCATCTTTGAGATGGTCTGTTGACCAATCAGAAGACTTCACCTTTGAAGGTCTGATCAGGTGTCAGGCTTCCTTGTCTCAGTGAGGCAGTGAAACTTTTGTTTGTGGCAAATGTGTGGCGTTGAAAACCTGGAAGGTCTACACAGAAAATCTACAGGAATTGATCAAAAAAATACATGAAGAATTGGACTGATAAGCAGATGGCATCAACTAAACTGAAGTTATTTAATCCATTAGTGTCTGATTTTGGTCCTTGCTTGAAGACAGCATCGGTTACTGTTATCACTAACTTATAAATGAGAAACTTGGAGACATTAAAGTTCTACAATCACGTTACAGAACTTTGAACTGTGGAAAAATATCACAAAGGCCACACTTTGACACTGTAGGAGGTCTTCTGGTGAGGTTGCCTGTTTAGCTTGTGCCTTTAGATTGTGTAATATAAATGCAAAGCTGTTTGGAAGATGTGTGTGCATTCATATGAATCTAAGTCTTCAGATCAGCCACCTCTGATATCTCTGCCACGAGCCCAGAGCACATTATCCCTCCAAATATGAGCGTGTGGCTGTCTGCCCTCTGTGCCCCCCCACCCAGAATAACACCAGGTAAATGACTTTCTAACTACCCGCTCATTGTTTCCGTCTCCTCACCCTGCCTTTTCCTCATGCTGTCTTGCTCTAATTGAATCACCATAGACTCAGTGCATCAATTCTAACTTTGCTATTGAGATTTAATCGGGTGTGCAGGAGACCGGCTTGGCAGACCGAGGGGTCCTTTTGTGAGAGGCCCATCTGTTGGTGACACAAGGGCCCCAGATCGGGCCGGGCCCAGAAGCTGAGTGGGGGTGTGGGAGGGATGACAGGATGGCAGGGTGGACCTCAACCCAAAACCTCCCACCCCACACTTTTTGGAAGTCTGTCTGGGCTTCTGCAGTTCGAACACACATGTAATTATATAACTATACTAATGATGACACCAATGTTAAAGGTAAATAGACTAAGAAAAAATCCTTTAGGTAGTCCTGGATTCAGGTCTACTGTCTTTTGCACCAGGGGAGTACCACCAATATGTCGGTTGAACTCACTTCTTTTGCTGGGGAACATTATGGACTATCAGCGGGTTACTACGACATACAAACACTGTAAAGATTTGCACTTTTTTTTTATGGCAAATATTTACTCTTGCAGAAAATAATTCCTGTGTTTGTAAGGCTTGTCCTTGAATGCCCATTTGTTTCAGATTTCAATGTTTCTGTTCTGTTGTAAATTTGTGCTTCAGCTTCAAGCCTGCAAGCTTCCATTTGCTAAATATAAATCCACCAGTCCCAGGTCTTATCAGGGTCATTTTTACCTGTTTTTGTGAAGCTATTAGTGAGCTGGGATGTCCCAACAGTGTCAATTTTGGGTTTTAGCAGCTTTGAGAAAGCAGATTATGTAGAAGACTCGCTATCTTCCACTTTCTCCACAAAGCTCTGTGTACAAAACCTCTTGACATGGTAAACTTGTCAAAAGCCTGAGAGTGCACACTCATATTCTAAAATTAAACTTGCATGCATGAATCTGAATAAATAAGCATCCAAAAGAGAGTCTATATACACGTATTACCAGTTCAAGAAGCTGAAACTATCGCTGGAGTTTGCCTGCAAACTACATAAGATGCAAGAAAATCAAGTTAAAGTGTTAGCTTTTGGTTGTCTTGATTGGGGCATTGCTGTTTTGTCCTCAATTTCAGGATTTTAGATCTAAAGCTTCTCAAAAACCTCCATTCACCCAGAATGGTAACAGAATACCTCCTCAACTCATTTGTTTTTGCAGAAGTTATTCTCCTTCTCATTCTATATATCGGAAAACAACCATCGTGTTTTAGTGGATAGTAGTAAAACATGCATGAGCATTTCTACATTTGCACACATATGCACAAAAGGAAGAGCACATATAGCAGATTTTGCACAAAGGCAGCATGCAACTGAGGCCACATACACTTACACTCAAGTGCATGAATGTAATACACTTTCAGGCAGCACATGAGGTGACTGAGAAAATCAGCTTTTCACCTCTCCAGAAGAAATTGATCATGACAGCATGCATACAAAACACACACAGAAGTACAGACACACACCCTCTGCCATTGTAACCCCCCACTGCCACTAACATATATACTGACAGATCTGTGCGCGTGTGTGTGTGCGTGTGTTCATGGTAGGTGTGCGTGTGTTCACGGTATGTGTGTGTGTGTTGTTGTGGAGGGTGGGGGAGCTGTTGGTCATATCGGCAGTGCTGATAGGTTCCAGCTCAGCATTCCCATCATTCACTGGGGTTACGACCTCTCTGTAAATGGCCTGACGGCAGGGAGGAGGAGGAGGAGGAGTGTGTGTGTGTGTGTGTGTGTGTGTGTGTGTGTGTGTGTGTGTGTGTGTGTGTGTGTGTGTGTGTGTGTGTGTGTGTACTGAGATGTTCATGAATAAGGAAAATGAAGAACCACAGGGTACAATACCAGCGACCATGACAGAGACATCTTCATGTTGATGTGAGGATGATGAAGGTGAGGAGCAGGTAGAAGATGATAACAATTCTGATCATGACTAAGATGAAGATGAAAATGAAGAAGATGTGGGCTGGGTGGACTGGTTATAACAATGAATAGGTCTGATGTGGCTCTCACACAATCACAATCCTAGATTTGATTCCTGTCTGTCATTATTTTGTTGATCCAAGTCCTAATCTTGCTGATGTGATTGGAGTTGATCGGCCATGCTGAGTCCTGATTCCTCTGTTTTCCAGTTAAAAGAGATCCAGCTCAGCTGACATTGTAATCCAGGCCATAAAAAAGTTCTTGTATTGTAAACGGGGAAAAATAACATAAGATAGCTTAAGCAAAGTCCAATATTTACATTCTTTGTCAAGCAGCTGCCATTGTAAATTACACTTTCATGTAATTTTCATTGACATTGGTACTGCCTTGTATTTGCAGTAGTGCACAGCATTTTTGTGTGTCTCCTCGAGTAAAGCATGAAAAACAGATTAAATGAGATTTTCCAAAGAGTCTTGCTGGACTTAGTTAAATGGAGAAAGCAAAACCATCTGTAGGTATTTTGTCTGCTTCTGTTATTTTTACAAAATAAAAAAATAAAAAACAACTTGCATTTCTGTGATCCAGATAAAAACAAGTATCGGATTGGGACTCTGAATCAGTAAATGCTCATTAATGAATAATAGGATTGATCCAGGCAGCCCTAATTTTCACCAACCCATCATTAATGCTTGGTAACTAGTTCTTATGTTATTTTCAGAAAAGAGTAAAGCTCTAAATCAAGCTGGACTCAGGCTATGAGGATTTTAAAATACTCATCAGTTCAATTGCTAAAGCCAAAGGCAAAACAGCAGCGTGTGAAAATGTGGGACAGAAGCATCTATCATTGGTTATGAATTTTTCAGCAAGACTTTAGAGTTAGATTTAACCAGTTTGTTTTCTAAAGTTCAAATAGTTAATCAAGTTCATCCACAAGAATGAGATCATTTATTTGTTTTTTTTTTGCTGTAGCCAACAGCACTGTCATGTGTCATGAAACTCCGTTCATACAGATGATAAAAACTACTGACTGCAGCTTCGCTTGTGGCATCCTCATCTGTGCAACACAGCTTGATAAAACCACCAACTGCTGCTACGCCTGCAGAGGTGCTGATTGGCTCAGTTATTTCCTCAGGAAGAAGCCTTGACTTCATTTACCTTCTCACAAGAGCTGTGGTAATTTGGACAGCTAGAATCAGACTTTGGTTAAAAATGGAGGTCAAAATGCTGGTTATGGTTAACACAGGCAAACGCCCCAGACTGTGTGTGGAGAGCAGAAAAAAGGCTCCATTGGTTTGCAGACTATATTTTAGATGTATCAAGTTTGGGAATATCATTGTAAGGTTGTTTTTCAGAGCAAGAAGTGACCAAACTTCAACATAAGGGTGAATATGCATTTCTACACCTCTATGCTGATGAAATGGTCACCATCTTGTCCATCACTAAGTAGCCGCGGTAGCACACCCTGCTCTATGGTCACACACAACTTAACAGCTTTGATACTTTTGGTTGTTTAATATGACAGCTTTGTCTTATTCACTTCCCTTCCTCTCCTTCTGTCAAGGTTTTGCTTACCCCCTACATATTTATGCTGTTTGGGTCGGATCCTAGGGTGCAGACTGGAGAGCGTGATCGATCAGAGCGCTTAAGCCAATTTGGGTCTGATTGAGATGTATACAGAACATACAAAAGAAAATTGATCCCCAGTTGCGTTATCCAGGGATAGTAGTCCAACTTTGAGAACTTTGACTTGCATGTTTACATGAATTTTAAAAGTCCAGTTTTAGTCAGACTAACATTATAAACTGTTTTTTTAAACAACAGGTAGGCATACAGGGTGTGATTTCTCCTTTATTCTATTATTAGCGGCTTTATTTCTGGCCCATTTTTCTTTATTTGAAGAATTGGCAAGATTATAGAACTAAAGAGTCATCAAGAATAGTGATTAAAAAAAGGAAGCTGTTGATATTGTAGTAGATCTATACTGAATTTAACTGCTCTTTTCAAATCCATGTTTGAAGAACCTTGATGACCCGAAGGGATTTTCTTACATCACCCAGGCACAACAAGTACACACACACACACAAATTAGCACAATGCACAGGCGGTGCACCTCAGCTGGCCTCCACACCCCAGTTGACTCCGACCTGACCTCTGTTTTGTGTGTGTGTGTGTGTGTGTGTGTGTGTGTGTGTGTGTGTGTGTGTGTGTGTGTGTGTGTGTGTGTGTGTGTGTGGTTGGCCATACTCAGGGTGGGCTGTCACTCTGCTCACCTCTTTCTGCCAACAACAGAAGAGGAGGGGTGATGTCTGGCATGACCTGAAGGCAGAGAGGGAGGATAGCTGGAGGGTGACATGAAAGTGAGTGTGTGCTTGTTTGTGTGCTTGTTCATGTGTGTGTGTATGTGTCTCCTTGCCTCCTAGAGTGGCCTGGTCAATTAAATTCACATTGAGGATAAATGATTTGCAAATGATACACGTATAAGTGAGTGACCTGTCCTTCATTGACAGGCTCATATTTTTAAAGTGAAAATGAAGGCAGGAGTTCTACAAAAGCTTATGGATCAAGAATTAAACATTAAAATAACAAAGAAAAAAAAAGCTTTTAACTTTTCAGGGTTCCTATGCAAGTATGGAAAAGTATGGAAATAAATTTGATCAATTTCCATTTCTTAAGAAGTATGGAAAATTAAAAATAAGGTATGTAAAAATGTTTATGTTTTCAGACTAATTCTAAAAAGTAGGGTATGGAAAAGTATGGACATTCCAACTGCATAGGAACCCTAACTTTTGCACATTTTAGATCAGTTAATTAAGACAAACTCAAAACTAGCAATGAATACAACAGTACTATAGCATTCTGGAAAAAAAAAAAAAAAAAAAAAAAAACTGGTATGTAAACGTTGCTTGGACCCAAACAGAGATCTATACGGAGGTGCAACATCACTCAAAAAATGGATTGTACTCAAACAAAATGCTGTCTCAATTGTAAGACCTGGTTTTTAACAAAGTCCTCACATAGCCAAGGTTTTTACAAATGAGAGAGACCAGAGACCCATGTCCTTAAGTGAGGATGCAGGTGAATTACTGCATTTAAAGGAAAAGTTTTTTGTTTTCTTTTTTTACTTAAGATTGCCCAAAGTAACTGCAAAACAGTGGAGATTTGAGACTTGAAAATGTGTGTAACCCACAGCAAATACTCAGCAGAAAATAAACTCAATGCAAACTGACTATCAGCTTATTGACAGAGGCCCTCACCCTTTCAGCCAGTTACGATTGGATCACCCTGTGGTGCCAACACCAAGTTGACCAAGAGGCTAACTGGTTGACCTGTGAAAACATGGACAATTTTGCGGCTATCTCCCCTTGGTTTGACTATGTGTATATATATTAATTTCTTTACCAAAACATATACTTTTCTTTAGATTTCTACTGAACATAAGTCATTATTTACAGCAAGGCTTTGTTGTGTTTTTGAATTGTGAATCTTTTTGGTTGCAGAAAGTTGTCTGTCATTTGTAGGAACAGGTTTATTTGGTTCAGACTTCAGCTGCAATACTGTTTGGTTTACTTAAATCAAGGTAAAAGGCCCAGGTTTAATTCCACGTCTCAAAACTTCCTTTGTGTTGAATTTATTTTTAACTTAGTTTTCATTTCATACTGAATAATGTTTAATGTTTAATTGAAGTTGACGTTTATTGTGGGCTGCATCAACAAGTTTTTTCTCTTTACAAACACATATGAAATGATAAGTTTGAAAAATTAAACACATTATATAAACAGTTGTGGGCCAAGTACTGACCCTTGTGGGACTCCACAAGTAATCTTATGCAATTCTGCTATTACATTATTGATAAAATATATTTATCTGTCATAAAAATAACTTTTCATCCAATGTAGTCTGCCCATCATCTATTTCCATATACTTTCAGTTTCTTTAGTAATAGTAATAAATCAAGCAAAATTTTGTGTACCATGGCTAAAATATTTCTTTCCTTTGCATTTGCTGCTTTATCCCAAACATATGCTTTATTGGCTTATATTATAAATCAATACATCACAGAATAGTCTGTTTTTAACTCTATAGATTTATCATCCATGACAAATATTGTTTATTTGGTCATCATACAGTAAAATACACAAGGAGTGTTGATGATTGTTTTGTCCCACTAAAGGTTAGACATGATTTTAATTCTTCCTTTTTTTTTTTTTTTTTTTTTTTTGTTTTCCAATTTTACACACACACACACACACACACAAACACACACTCAAACTCAAACACAACACTTTCAGACAGTGGTAGAGATTATGTGTGTGTGTGTGTGTGTGTGTGTGTGTGTGTGTGTGTGTGTGTGTGTGTGTGTGTGTGTGTGTTTGTCTGCATGAGACAGAGGATGAGAGAGAGAGAGAGAGAGAGCATCAGGCATGGAGGAGACCCCCTTCTGGCTATCCTCTGAGGGGCTGATGATACTAAAGACACTGGAGAGCGCCCCGGCTGTGACCCACCCACCCACCAACACACACACATGTAGGAGCACACACACAGACTCACACACACACACACATCAACCCTCCAACCATTCTGTTCTCTTTACAACTTTACAAAATAGGCTTTTAATTTAGCTGGGCGGCCGGGGCGTGTGGGGCCCGCCAGCATCAATCATCATGAGGAGGCTGAGGAGGCCTGGCCGTCCCCTGGGCCCTCTCACTGACGAGGATGTCCCAGCACATACACACACACACATACACACACACATTTCCTTCTGCTCTTTTATACAGAGACTCGTTTGCGAGACCTCGAGACCTTATCATTCGCTCAAACACACACATACACACACACACACACACATGGTCGTGCAAATGACGCACACACACACACCCTCCATCCCCTCTAGGCTGTAGATGATGAGAACAGACTGAACACAGATGGGAAATGGGGGGAAAATGTGAGAATTAAGCATCTTTCTCACTCTGTACTTTTATTTTTATTATATTTAATCATTACCAGACTTAACCACATGACTAAACATGAGCGAAGTGCTCATTGTGTATGCAACCTAACCTAACCTAAGACTACTTTCCAGATCGTTTTCTATTTTTCTTTCTCTTTTTGTCGTCTTTTTGGAATCCTTTGTACAATCGTGTTCTCCTCTAAGCCAATTTGTATTTGCATTGCAAACATTCATTTCCATTTTGGGTTCATGCGTCTACCTTCTTTGTTAATTGGATTTGGATCATTTCCAAATGTTCAGAGTGTACCCAGCAATAATTATATTCCCAGAGAGATCTGTATAATTTTTGTCACAGACATTGAAGACTTGTCGGCATGTCACAGACGTGACAGTGATGTTTTATTGCATATAAAAGACATCTCTTATGAAGCAAAATGTCAGCAGGATGTCGTGTCTGAAAGAGAGATGTGTAATGAGTCCCTGGAGGAGAATGATTGTATTTCAAAGATTATATTAACCTAAGTGCAGTACTTAAGTCAAACTTTTATTCTTCCTTCTTTTTCCAACTGGTACATTGAGCCTTATATTATTTATTTAGACTGTTATAATTACCGGTTACCTCAGATTAAAAGAAAATTCCACAGATTCAGTGTGACATTTTGGCAGACTCACAAGAGATCAAAGAGTCTAGAGCTGAAATAATCCCTATTTAAAGATTCTACATAAAAGCAAAGACTCTGTAGGCAGAGGCTTGGAATTAGGTATGGGAAGTGTTCCTATTTGTTTGTACATGCAGCATTGACACAACAAATAGTCTGTATGGAGATCAAAAACACAAGTAGATCTGCAAGGTATGGCATCCTGGATCTCAACCTGATAACAATTTATTCATCTTTATCAACAGATATCTTCATGAAACATCATTAGATCAGACATTTACTCTTGAGACACATCTCTGCTTGAATGCATCAGCAATTATGGATCCTACCACCATTCCTCAAGCAAACATTTTAAACAATTTTTCTCTATTTAAAGACAAACCTGACAACGCTTGACTGTTTACAATTTTAAAAAAAAAATCTGCATCCTGATGTTATTTCAGTCCATTAATTACAAAAGAGTAAGTTTCTCTTTTGGGTTCACACAGTTTATGTAATCCTGGGTGAAGCCTCTGTTTGACCTACTGTTTACAGTGAAACTGAGACTTCCCAAAGACAGGGGAACAGGAGCTGTTCCTGAGGATGTTGTGAACAGTGACAGTGTTTATTTAGCAGACAACTAGAGGAGTGAATTTCATTCTGGTTTTGATTTGAACACAGCAATTTCTCAAGTTGTTAATTGGACTGCAGGAAGTCATTTATAGCTCACTGCAGCCCACATCAGAATTACCAACAATTTGACAATTATTCCCTGAGTCAGCAGTGTGAGGCTAGAAGACATTTGACTTCTGTAATAGGAGCTTATGTAACCAAAATCAGAGCTGTTGCATGAAACAGTGTTAATCTCAATTTGGAATATCCATTCATTCCAAGAGTATCTCTGAAACAAGGAGGACTTGCACCAGATCTAATCAAGACTAGACTAGACTTGATTCTTCAACTAGTGTGACAAGGCGAAGTACACCGGACACTTACTCTACCAACTGAGCTGAAGGGACACTCAATACTTTCTTTTCTAATGCTCATACCTATAAAGTAAAATAAATTTAAATCAGTTTTATTTGGCTAAACACCAAATAGAAAAAAAAAAAGCCAGAAATTGACTGTTAAAGTGAAATCTTATAAATTTATAGAGCTGGATTACATAAAAAAACATAATGGTCGCAGTCTAAAACTAACCCTAAACTGAGGATATAAGAGCTTACATACCTCATGATTGGAGGCCATAAAACATCAGGACAGGGGTATCATTTTCAATATCTATGTGAAACTACACTATCAGAGAAATGAGGAATTAAGGAAGGGCAAGACAAGGGTGGAGTGATGCTTCCATAGCTTTACAGATAGACGCAGTTGACTTACTTACATGTAATCATCCTTTTCTGAAGTTGTTCAAAGTTCAGTTTTGTCAGCTTCACAAAAACCTATTTGGAGAGGACACTTCTTTAACAAAACAATGGTTTATGGGGCTTTTATTTTGACATTTTTAATGTCTTGCCCTTAGGTTGCTTGACTTGTTGTAAAACTATTCTTTGCAATGAAAGTATATGGTATATCCAGTTTATAGTAAATTCCGGATCAGAATTGAAACTGCTAAAAGAATGTTTAGTAAGTATATTTGTTTCATAATTGTTTATTTAATTTAGACCCTTTTTAAGGGCTGCTACAGCTAGTTTGCTCGCAGCCATTACAGCTGCTTATTCTTCATTTACCCTCTGTTTTATTGCAAGTGGTGACCAGCAAGATGGCCCTACTGCACCCTGACAAGAACCTATTACATTTACTTATTTTAGCGTGATGTTGATGATTCTTTTTTTTTTAAATTACTGTTTCTACAGAAGAGAAACATGACCAAGCTTGACCAACAACCCTCTCCACTCTTCATCTCTCTCTCTCCTCTCCCTCTCCCCCTCCCTCTGTTTTCCCGGTCATGTCTAATCAGATAAACTGAGCAGAGAGGTGCGATAAGGAAGGGGCTCCCTGGGGTGTGATGTCGCTCCCTCCTTCCCTCTCCTCCCTCCCGTAAACCCCCTCCCCAACACCATCGCCGCCACCACCACCCATACAACCCCTCCTTCCCCCCTCCACCCCCCAGCTCTATCTTTGCTGCCGGTGGCGATGGTAGTTTTAGTATGCATAGAGCTGAGCTATCTGCTCCACTGCACCTTGACTCCCCCCCAACCCCCCTCCTACACACACACATGCACACACACACATCCACTTTCACCAAACTCACCACCGCAACATCCACCCATGACCACATAATGTACACACAGCTCCAGCACACATACACTACTGTTAAGGGTGCTAGCTCACAGCAATCATAGCAACTAAAAGTCACAGACAGACACTTGAGCACAAAAGGCGACCCTCAGAAACCTCTTATTTTACCTTCTGTTGCTGAAAGGAATCTGACAGAAAGAGGCGGTAAAGAGGCAGAGGCTTTTCCACAAGTCAGAGGGCTGTACAGTCGATGTTTGAAACTAATAGACAGGGTCCCAAGAACAATCTTTTCACTTGTCTTTCTTTCTTTCCGCTCTTTGTGCCTCCCAAACTTCTGTGTGTTGACTTCTCTTCAATAGCAGGACTACTTGGGTCAGAGCCGTATTCTTCTACACAGTAAGTAAATAAAAGCAACACACAATGTAATAGAGGACAGAACATAATAAAGACGGCACTTGTGCCAAGTTCACCAAGTGCTATTAGGAAGAAATTCTTTATAGAAAACATTTTCACTTGATTGAAAAGCATTCTTTTCTGGTATTTCTTTTAAGGTGAGCACAAAGTTGGTGAAAAGTTAAGAGCAATCTCTGAAGAAGACATACGATGCTGTTTTTTTTTGTCATGTTACAATGATGGATGTTAATAGTTACTGTAAATTCCTATGTTTGACACATCCAATAAAACAATGAGCCAAAAGAGTTTCTATTATATTCAAGTATTTTATTTACCAAGTTCCACACAGTAAACAAAAGGATCTGTTGTACCAGAGTGGAGTGGAGTACCACCGTTTCAAACTGTGTAGCTGCATACCAGGCCTGCTCACCGGATAAGTCATGGGTGCTTTCAAGGGAGCAGAGGTATGTATCATCCACTCTCTGGGACCAGTTAGCATTCATCAGCAATTACCAAAGTGGCTCCAGCAGTTGGCATTATCTCTTACGTGTTTTGCGGTCTCACTGTACAGCTTGTTTTGAATACATTGTGAGATCTGATCCGAACCTGACATCAATGAAGTTGTCTGTTTAGGGCATTAAGTCTTCTTGCAGTCCATCTAAATTCTTAAAATTAGGAAAGTTAATGCTGCACAATAAAGGTCCTTTTCTCTGAGTAATGTAAACAATCAGCTACCTGCACCAAGTTTTCTGCTCTCTGTCCATGGTGCTGAAAAACAGCTCAAGGTTTCCCTGATGAATAGCTGATCTCTTTATTCATATACCTGCACATACCTGCAACAGTTTGCAGTTGCTAAGTCAGTCTTTGACTTCAGGTCATGTAGCCATAGTTTTGCTCAGCTGCAGCATTGCCCTCAAAGCAGTTGGTTAAGTTTAAAGACTTGATTTGTTTTCAGCAACCTTGTTTTCAAACTCTTAAGGGAGACACAACAGGACCAGCAAGACCTCTGAATTGCAGATATTTCCTGAATTGCACTAAAGGCAGAAAATGCCAAGTTTTCATGCAACACAAATGTTGAGATGTTTGCATTAAATGCATCAAATTAACTTTGGCAATCATTATGTCAGGTTTACTCTGTGGATTACATGGGTCAGGCCCAAACTTTGTAACAAAATTGGTACTGTCAAATGTAGTGATGTGTTCTTTGTTTGTTTGTGTGTGTGTGTGATTGTGTTTGTGTACTTGAGGAGGGCAGCAGTTGCCTGAGCAGCCAGCAGCTTCTGATAAGACAAAGGCAGGTTGTTTGCTGTCTCTTCCTTGGCTGCCTGGCCATTAAAGGTAACCTGCTATCTGATGGAGGCCAGGCTGGACACCCCCAGTATGGCTGGACATACTAAGGCTGTACGCGCGCGCGCGCGTGTGTGTGTGTGTGTGTGTGTGTCTGCTCCCATCTCCACCCCTTGAACCTGTAAATACATGGTATGTCTGTTCTTATTCAGACTTTATAACTGCTCAGAGAGTCGAGTGGAGCCCCAGCTATCCTCCTGCAGAATTGCTTTGTTCTGGTCCTGGTGTGTGTCTGTGTGTGTGTGTGTGTGCGTGAACGTGTGAAAATGGGTGCGTGTTGTTTAGGTGTTGACTGGTTCAAGTGTCTCCTCTCATGTCTATTGCATCTCCTGTGTATATGCACCCAGCGTTGAGTCCTGAAAACATGAAGAAATGCAAAACATGAACACTCCTGTCTGTTATTCAGCCACATCGAGGCTTGGTTGAGCATCAACTTCTGAACTGAAATTTGTCTTTCCACTTTGTCACTTCCAATAACATATCATTGCATATCATTTGGAAGGTCTGTTCAGTCATAAATGGTAGGTTAGCTTTGACTTAAGCCTGTAATCTCCATCACAAGTAGTTTTACGATGGTTTGCACAAAGACTAAGAAGATTTATCCACGGTAATATCACCAATTGGTTTGTAAACTACCGATTCGAAGCCCTGCATCTTGGCAGCCACCATCTTTTTTTTAAGGCAAAAGCCACCATATTTGGTTGTAGGTTGGATATGCATTGCTGCCCCTGTTTTTATTGTAAATGTATTGGTGCAGTAGAAACCTGGCAATCGTAGGTTGCCCAGGCCTAATTTCTTCCTTGTCTAATGTCGGTTGGATTTTGATCAAGACCATAATTTACAAAACTAGCAAGAATTAGAGATTAAGGTTTTAAAAAAACTAATTTGAAAATTGTTTATTAAGAGACTAAATCAAGTGACAGTATTTTTATACCAGATGGGTTGTCCCCTCCTAATGATACAAAGATGAAAGTTTCAAGGCATGCACACATAGTATCACTTGAAATCTAATTGCCATTTCAATTTCTACTGTGAAGCCTACTGTGCTGTGTTTCCATTAAAATGCCATAATTATCATGTTAGTGGGAAAGTTTGGTTTCCAAACATGAGATTTTGGCTGTTGGTGTGTTCACTACACTAATGATGCTGCTGCTCAAAGACAGCCAACCAATTCTATTTTTACCAATTAAGTTCTCGCAAGGCTGGACAAACGTTTGTTTAAAACTAAGGCTTTCCAATGTAGAGTGTAAAACTTCTCTCCGACTGGTCAGTTTAAGAGCCCTAATGTCCCAAAGTTTCAGACTTAAGTTTTAGTTTACAACTGTAGGAACTCAATAAAGTTTACTCAGAACTATATTTAGGTATCAATACACTGAAAAACTAGAGAGAAAATCTAGCTATAAACATCATCAGATTTTATTTTGCATCACAAAGTTTTCTGCAGGTGAGGAGGTATGGTGAAAAAAAAAAAAAGTTCAGCACATACAAGTCTACAAATCACAGCACAGAAAAGACTGGAATTTTTTGTAAGTAAAAGTCGCGTACACCTCTGTGTGCACCTTTGCCAGCGTCACTTGAACCAAAGCTGAGCCTGCAGCGATGTGAGGGCATATAAAGCTGCAGACAGCAAGATCCAGGCTTTTACTGACCAGAACTAAATTCTAAAGCAAACACACACACACATATATGCACGCACACACACATGCACACACACACACTGAGCGGAGTACTTGCCCATTGGCAGCAGCTTCTTTGCAGCCTGAGCGACTGTGGCTGCTTCTGGCTGGGTCCAATGCAAAGCTGCTTAACAGGACTCATCTGGGATCAGTGACAGATGGACAACCTGTCCTGGAGGCCCGGGCACCACCGGAGCTCCTGGAGACAGGTAAACCTGGTCAGAGCCCCACAGAGCCCCGAGGATGCTTACAGTGTAATCGCAAGATTTAACAGTAGAGGTGCATTTACACACACACACAAACGCAACCATGCTCACACACACACACTGGACATGAACCCAAACACTCACCTACAAACAAATGTCTGAGAACCGCCTCTTGCATCATGCAGGACAAACGTGTCCTCTTGTTTTGCTCACAGTTCAGAAACCTTCAGGGTACGATTTGGGACTACAGTACGAGCATTTACCAGAGATTTGTTTGATTTAATTTCAATTTGATTTATTGAGATGGAAACAGCATGAAACAACAGCTTTTACTTCTGTCTTAGATAATGATGTAAAATATAGATGGGGGAAAGTTATACTGTCATACTTTCTAATACAGCAGACCATGTGACTTTACCCTAAGTAGCTTTGTCACTAAATTTATTAACACTATTACTCAGATTTCAGGACTTTTCAGCAACCTTCAGTATTGAGACATGAGGCTAAGGGGGAGTACAAAACACTGCATTTCCTTCGGTGTCCTCTTGAGGCTGTTTCAAAAAGCTAAGGAGACCCCATTAAAGGGATATTCTTGCATAAAATTAATTTAGGGTCAAACACAAACTATAACACCGAGTTAGACACCCCCTCGAGAGATGAATGGGGCCGACTGCTTGTTTCTCTAGTTATACCAACTTTCGTAACGACCACACGATAGCAACACAGAGCAGTCTATGGAACCACACATGAACCTCAACCAAAAGGCCACTCTATAGCCACAAATAATGCTCAGAACAGCACCTAACTTCATCAACAGCACATATAGGGTCCCAGCCACAGCACTAGCCACCAAACATCTTTTTAACTCTGCCTAATTTCTTTAGCAAAGTGACTAAACACAACTCACCTACTCTCTTCCAGCAGCCACTTGTTTGTAGCGAGACCTCGGGACAGTCCATTATGGACTACAGCAGGGTGACGCAGCTCAAGGAAGAACATTTATAATCATTTCTTCATGGAAATGAAATCAGACCGAGACGCTAAGGCAGAAGAACTACCGTGTCTGCAGTGCAAAATGATTAATATGATGATTATTACTTCAAGGAAATGATAATGAAATGATCACATATGTTCTTCCTTGAGCTGACCCCCGCTGTAGTTCGTAATGGACTGGCCAGAGGTCTTGCAAAAATGCTTGCCTTTTACAGCAGAGATAAACATGCACTGTCTGGTACAAAGACATATTTTTCTTTACTCTTGACAACTCTATGGGCCCAATTATATCACCAAACATGCATGGTCTGATTTAGATGTGAATCAGGGTGTGTCCAACCACTTTTTGCTAGTAAAGCAGCGTGCAATCTCAAGTGAGGCCAAAGGCACAAAGTGGTTTGATTATGACCCTTGGTTATTATGCGTATAATGGGGCAACATGAATCAAACCAATCAGTGCATTTGCTATAATTCCCTTTATGATCATATAAAACTATATATATGTACACTCACCGGCCACTTTATTAGGTACACCTGTCCAACTGCTCGTTAACACTTAATTTCTAATCAGCCAATCACATGGCGGCAACTTAGTGCATTTAGGCATGTAGACATGGTCAAGACAATCTCCTGCAGTTCAAACCGAGCATCAGTATGGGGAAGAAAGGTGATTTGAGTGACTTTGAACGTGGCACGGTTGTTGGTGCCAGAAGGGCTGGTCTGAGTATTTCAGAAACTGCTGATCTACTGGGATTTTCACGCACAACCATCTCTAGGGTTTACAGAGAATGGTCCGAAAAAGAAAAAATATCCAGTGAGCGGCAGTTCTGTGGGCGGAAATGCCTTGTTGATGCCAGAGGTCAGAGGAGAATGGCCAGACTGGTTCGAGCTGATAGAAAGGCAACAGTGACTCAAATAACCACCCGTTACAACCAAGGTAGGCAGAAGAGCATCTCTGAACGCACAGTACGTCGAACTTTGAGGCAGATGGGCTACAGCAGCAGAAGACCACGCCGGGTGCCACTCCTTTCAGCTAAGAACAGGAAACTAAGGCTACAATTTGCACAAGCTCATCGAAATTGGACAATAGAAGATTGGAAAAACGTTGCCTGGTCTGATGAGTCTCGATTTCTGCTGCGACATTCGGATGGTAGGGTCAGAATTTGGCGTCAACAACATGAAAGCATGGATCCATCCTGCCTTGTATCAACGATTCAGGCTGGTGGTGGTGGTGTCATGGTGTGGGGAATATTTTCTTGGCACTCTTTGGGCCCCTTGGTACCAATTGAGCATCGTTGCAACGCCACAGCCTACCTGAGTATTGTTGCTGACCATGTCCATCCCTTTATGACCACAATGTACCCAACTTCTGATGGCTACTTTCAGCAGGATAATGCGCCATGTCATAAAGCTGGAATCATCTCAGACTGGTTTCTTGAACATGACAATGAGTTCACTGTACTGAAATGGCCTCCACAGTCACCAGATCTCAATCCAATAGAGCATCTTTGGGATGTGGTGGAACGGGAGATTTGCATCATGGATGTGCAGCCGACAAATCTGCGGCAACTGTGTGATGCCATCATGTCAATATGGACCAAGCTCTCTGAGGAATGCTTCCAGCACCTTGTTGAATCTATGCCACGAAGAATTGAGGCAGTTCTGAAGGCAAAAGGGGGTCCAACCCGTTACTAGCATGGTGTACCTAATAAAGTGGCCGGTGAGTGTCTTTATTGAGTTTAAGTATATTTAACTTCCCCCCTTTGACTGTGCTCCAAATAACATGACAACAACACGTGAGTTGTGTCAGTGCTTAGACTGATGTTGAATCCACTGAAACTGTCCCTTTAACTGTTTTCAGCTACCTTTGCAATTTCCTGGTATGCTCGTTGTTTCTGTTTTAGTCGTGTGTGTCTTGGTGTATTTGTTAGTTAATGTTGTGAAATGTGTTTATAGTTTAAGAAAAATGATGAGTAACATGGAAGATGAAAAATGGAGGCCCGGGCTGAGAGAAAAGAGAGTATGTGTGTGAGAGTGCAACAGAAACACACATGAAGGTCACATTTAAAAGCTGGCATCTCTCCTATGGCAGTATAGCTTCATGGCCTCCTCATGCCACCATGCTGCCTAACCCAGCACTGAATCCCATGGTGCATTTCACACTTGTTTTGCAGCCGTGAGATGATTTGTCAGCAGCTAAAGGATGGAATTAGCTCCTTTGCAGTCATCCTTGGCCTCTCATCAATAGCTCTTAACTCATTTGTTCTTTGCTGTTGTTTTACGTCCAAAACGGTATGTGTGGCAATGTCAGGGTGGGGTTGTCGGGGTTGGTAGAAGGAAGGGGGGGGGCAATAATTAGCGTTGGTATTGAAAAGTAATAACAGTATGGATTAATGTGGGAGAAGTGGAGTGGAGCGCATCATCGAGTGAGACAAATCCAATGCTGGGAATTGGCAGACAAAGCAAGAGGCAGTCAATAGGGATTATGTGGGGGCTAAGCCGCCCCACTTTGGCTGGGGGAGGCTGGGTGAAGAGAAGTGGGCTGGGGTGCCTTGATGGCGGTGGTGGTAGCATTTGGACAGGCATCGATGCACATTCATGCAGGTTGGCTTGAAGCTGCCACCGTCTGAGCAGACGTTGCACAGCCTCTCTGGTGGAGAGCATGGGGAGAAGGCTGGGGAGACATATAGGGGGTGACAGGGGGAGGAGGAAGAGAGGACAGACATCTTGCTTCCTCTATTTAGCTCCTATAACTCCTCCCACATAACCACCCAGCCCTCCACTCTCTGTGAGACCCCAGATCCCTCCACCCCCTAAGGGAGGTGGTGCATTGCCGCTGCCAGAAGCTGAGTCTGTGCCAGCTGGGCAAACACTCAAGTCGTTGACAGAATAAACACCTTGCAAATAGAAGCAGAGATGACACAGGCTCAGACACAGCGAGCAGCACGACTCCCCATACATCAGCAGGTCTGCACTCACTCCTTCGCAGCATGAGCGGAGGGACTGAGGGTTTGACTGATACATCTGTTCTAACTCATTTTGTTCTGTTTAAAACACCCCCATCCTACTTAGTACATGTCTCAGCTTTGGTGTGACTCATATTTTACATCATTTTGTCAATCCCGTGTAAAATGTTTTCTTCCAGCAGATGGGAAACAGGCTCATGGAGATAAGGGATTGAAACTCAAGACCCACTAAGGCTACCAACAGCCACTACTACTTTCTAAAATCTTGTCATTCCCAGCCTGGCCACTAGTTGCCCTCAGTGAGCTTCACATACTTGCCAGCTACCTGCCAATCTTAACAAATAATCACCTTTCCCATTTACAGCCTTACATAAACGTATCTTCCACAGTGTAGTGCTCAGTTGGATTTTTAAAGATGCTTTACCTCTATTCTGGTTTGTCCCTGTTGTGTGCCCACCACAGTTTAACACCAGGTTTCTGTAAGCCTGGTTCACATGTGCATTGCATTTTCAGACCTGCACTTACCCAGGAGCAAAGCCAGACTGTGTGCTAGGAGCTGCATGATTATAGCCACAATGATAATAACAATCAAGACTTAGATCCCAAGAAAAAATCACAGTTGTGACGTATTTTTGCAACAAATTTAATTTACAGTTTACAGTGAATTTCATAAACAGACATCCTGCGTCTTGACATGGACAAAAAATCTGTCCATTCTGGCCCCCAAAATTTGATCAAGTATAACGTCAAACATCATGTAAGCTTGACTTTTATTTGAGTTTTGGCATGACTTTGACACATGGATTTTCCTCTGAGATTAACATGATGTGGAATTAATGGGGAAATTATCTGAACTTGAATATATTTTAACATTTTATTTCATTACAGTTACAGATGTAAGCTTTCAGTCTTTTGGCCTTCATCTTTAAAACAGGTGGATTTAGTCTAATTACCTTCTGATTTTATTTAATAATGACTTGGACTTTCTGTGTGATCTTGACTGAACACGTATCATTATTATTCATGAGCCTAGAGTTACAAAAGGTAAAGAGTTGATGTTAGCTTATTGATGCTCCTGCAGCTTAGATCATCATGCTCATTCTGCTCCTCTGCTTGACTAACACACACCTAAATCTCCTGCTCTCAGCCCGCTTTGCTGTCTTTTTTTCTACACTTTCTACTACAAACCTCATCAACATGTACATCACTTCTTTCTCACTGGTGTCAAAGATGAAAAATCTTATACCAGAATTTGTGTTGTTCAGGTGACTTTCTAATAGTAACTGCTAATGAATATTGTTTTGTTACGAATATTGTGATGATTATAATATATAGTTAATTTTCATAGGCAATAATTGCTCAGTGCACAAAGCTGAACTCTTTCTTTTAATACTCCACAAAGGAGTGTTACAGCCAATGTTAAGACATGTTTTGTTACCAAGAGTGACTTATTTTGACAGTACTTTACTGTTATGAACAAGAGAGCCGACAGTCCAAATGTGTGGAAGCTGTGGGGGACTCAATGGCAAAGTAGCTCCAGTGAGACCTGGGCCAGTGGTTCAGATCTATCTCTTTAACAGTTTGTGTATTTTTTTATAGTATTATCAAGTGTCGAGCACTATCATAACAGCTATGCCTCGCTAGCTGGCATGTCAGCAAGCTCTCCAAATCAAAGTTTGCTGTGCCACCTGTCCTTTTGACCAAGACTCAGAGACTGGTTCAACATCTCTGGCCCTGTTGTACAGCTCTAGCTTGGATCTCATTATTTCTTGAGGATGAAACACTTATACTCGAAGTTGCTTTGAGTAAAACATATTTCAGGAAAATAAAGAAAATGGCCAGGAGCTGTTCACTTGCCTCCACTGAACTAAAGAAGAGACAAACTCGAAATAAAAGGCTGCCTGTTTGTTTGGGTCCTCTGGCGTACCAATCGTCCATGTCTTTTACTTGCTGAATGCCTTCATTTTACCCCTTTACCGCCCTTAAAAATGCATAGAAATCACACAAAAAGTCCAGTCACCCTCAGTTTCCACGAGAACACAAACTGTGGGTTTCAAAACAACCCAGTAAAAAAGAGTGAAACCCAGATCAAATCCATCCACACTATCCAATAAAGAGTCTTTCAGGGCACAACATGGGCACCTTTTGTTGTTTTTATTTAGAAATGTACCCTCTACACTTAAGGCTCTGTAGCTGTGGAGGACACTGTTGGAAAGTCTGGATGGTGACTTCAACACGGAGGTTTCCATTTCTAAGACATTCAGAGCTGTTTCAAAGTCTGAAATTGACTTTAGAAGTGTCTGGACTTCACATCCTTTTGCCTTTTTTTCCAAAGTGTTGCATCATTTCCCTTTTTCACCCAGCTGCTTCCTTCTTCACGGCATGTGGTCAGCATTTCCTCAGAGCTTTGGAGAGGATTGCATTTCTGGAACCAACATGCCAGAAAGAAAAAAAAGGCATTGCAACTAAGCTGCTGCGAGCACTATCCTCTCTCTCTCCCATCCTTCGTAAACCTTGCATACTTGTTTTCCTGTAAGTCATTTGTAAGCATGTGTTTGGGCTCAATGCTAAACAAATAATCCAATAAAATCAGAACAGCCTTGTTCCGTCACTTTCTTTCAGGAAGAGGGAAACAGGACATGACTGATTCGGTTGAGATTTATGTTTTTCTTCACTCATTTCATCATAAGTCATTCATTTATTCAATGCCCATTCTCTCTGCATATAATTCTTTAATTTTTATGTTAATGGCTTCATGGGGCGGTGGCTGGCTTTTGATGACATATCTCCAGTGGAGATCCTTGGACGGCTTAGTCCGCCCATCCAAAAATAGCTGTGAAATCCCACCAAATAATAGAACGGTGGTGTGGTGGAGGGTGAGGCGGAGGGGGTGCAGGAGGGGTGGATTTGCGGCAGCTGAGGCTTTGCATTCGAATGGCAGAGTCTGTCTGGAGTAAAGGGACCCCCCTCTCCACACCAGCCCTCCACCACCACAGCCACAACACCCAAGAGAGAGACGGAGAGGGGAGGTGTTATCGGGTCCTTGCAGCCATAGCCCTGACTTGTTCCTGAATACCAAATGTGGCACAGGACCAGAAAAGTGAGTTGTCTTTGTTTTGTCAAGTGTGCCATGACAAAATGCTGGGTAGCCCCCCTCATGACCCCTCCTTTCCCACTCCTCACATCCCCCATATGCACACACACAAACATGCACACAGACATGCACATGCAGGTGAAGTAGCTCTGCTTGTTTGACCTGCTAATCATCTTTGCATAAATACAAAAACACACACACGTGCACACGATTCATGTCTGCGGTACCTGATGCATCACTGTTTCCATAGGGATAGCTGCACCTATGACACTCATGCATCTATCTGAAAACATACATTCATACATGCTGAAATGCCCCAAAACAATCTTGTGTGTTGTGTGACAGCATGTTCACACACACAATCACACAAAAACAAGGAGAAACAACACACTCCTGGGAAATGTGTTTGTACATACATACACAAACACAAACACACACAGACATCAAACCTCTATCTTCACGGCAACAAGTCCTGCTAAATATTCATGAAGCCCAACAACAACAACAACAACAACGGTGTCCTCTCTCACCATCTGCTTCATGCTGTCCCTCGCCTTTTCTCTTTCTCTCTGGTGGTCTTTGTCTTAGTCTCTCGTCCATGTGACTGCCGTGTGTTTGAGGGACATCAGACAGCCTTTGAGGGGTTTATTATTAAGCAACCGACTGTTGTCCTGCCCTGATAGTCCTAGTCCAATGACTTCATGCAGCCCTACATCACAACAGCGTCTCACATATACACATGTGAACTATGTGGGGAAATAACAGGATTAAATCATAAGTTGTAGACGATCATGATATTTAGCCTATGCACCAGTATTTATTCCAGTATTAAAAAAGAAAATGACAAAAGTAAGCTTGAAAAACTGTCCATTTATGGCTCTAAGTAGCTTGTAAAGTTCACCCATCAGTAAGTGTATTGGGAAATTTTTCAGAAGGCCATTTTTTTTTTTACTTTGCTACATGCGGGGTACCAAATAGTCTTGGTTTAGAGTGTACGCTTAAAACCAAGATGAGCACTTTGGTCAGATACGTTATGTGGCAAAGTCGGCCCCATGTGCTAAAAATGGTAGCATACTAGCATACCTTGCATCCAATTTCTGTTGACCAGCATCCATTGAAGTAACTTACCAGCCACATGTTATTCAAACAACCTCACTTTAAATATACTGAAATATCCCATTTCAGACCCACTCCAAAGACAATCATGTTTTTCTTGTTGTCTACATGTTCATATGGCAGTTTTCTGATGCTACAGGACATATCATGAGAAAACTAAGTGCAAAATTGCATTTCTGGGTATTTCTGCATTCAATTCTCTGTGAACCTCTTGCAGACCCAAATGGCAGGCTCAGACACAGTGAGATTTTCTACATCACAAATCTATGCTCTGTCCCCAGTGCCTCGCTCTGCAGGCCAGACCCCGAGAAGTAGAAAGGACGATCGTGGAACAAGTGTTTGCGGTGACGGATTACAATCCTCGCAAGAAAGCTAATTATGATGTTACCTTTTAGAGGAGGGTGCAGAGCTGTCTCTGCCCACAACTCAGAGGTAAATTGCTGATGAGTGACTGGAGCTCTGCAGAAGAAAAGCCCTTGAAGTGACTTGGTTTTTTTGCTCTATATTCAACATTGTATCTTGTGGGCTCCTGCACTGTAATAGGGTAGTTAGGATGTAAACACTCTTCTTTTGGCATAGCTGGGTTTTTTTCCTTGCATCTCCGTCAGACATTTCAGGTGAAGATTTGTCAAGTGGCATTTTGCATTACCTGTCTGTGATGTGTAGATCATCTCAATCTGTGTCCACATATTGTTTTTTATTTGTCTACCATCTTTTTGTCTTTCATATTTCTAGAAAGTGAGGAACCAGATGCTTCCTCTCACCAGATTTAAGCCTGGTGTGTATTTCTGTGTCTCCACAGAAGCCCACACACACTGAAGTCCTCACCTTCTCAAAATGAATCACTCATCTAAACAACGTGGACTGCAAGTACTCTGATTGGTCTGCTTGGCAGCAGACATGTCCAGATTGCTGCCACTTGGCAGCGGCTGTAGTGTCCGTGTCTTGTGATGACTCCCCTCTATTCTTCTTTAAAATAATGAGAGCAGGATCAACTGCTGCACAACATTTAACAGCTTTGACATATTGTGCTCAGATTCGGTCAACGAGGCATGGAGGGAAAATAGTGGGACTGGACAGAGGTTATACAACGAGCAGAGACACTGAGCACCAAAATGTTCAAGGTGCATTTTATTGCTATCCAGGAGGCGTTGATATTGTTCTAAGTCAAAGACACGCACACATGGATACACACAAACACACACACACACACAGAGACAGACAGAACAAACAGCCTGCCAGTGCAGTCTGCATGTGCTCATGGGCATGCAGGCCGAGGTGTGAATGTGTGTCAGATGGTTCGGTGGGCAGCCTGGCAGCCGGCAATGTGGCAGTGCCCACACCTACAGAGAATGACACACACACACACACAAGCCTTTTGCCCTCACACATGCAGACACACACACCCTTCTAAGCCCCTGCCTGCCTGACCTACAAATAATTCTTGCACAGATTCATAAATACACTCACAGATGGGTTGGAGTCACCTGTTTACCTGGTCTGATGGTTCTGGTCTGAATGTTCCCGGTCTGTCAGTGTTCACTAGATTTTAAATAACGAATATGGCATTTCTAAACTGATTAATATTTCTAATACAAGTAAAAAAGAGGGAGTGTTCACCTTTATTAAAGCAAATGAGAAAATATCCTTTGTTTTATTGCAAAAATACTTCATCATTGATGGCTTTGATTTGTTATTAAAGCTTGACTTCTATTGAAAATATTTTTTTCATCCTGTCCATTGACAAAAATGTCCTTTTGAATACAACTTTTCATGTCGTAGAGGTTAAGTTTATAACAATAACTGCTTCTATCAAGTATATCCACATCATTCTTTTGTTTTAGGTACCTGATGATCTCTCTGCAGGCATCAATGTCCAAGGAGCACATGCTGGCATTTCTGCCCCAGTTATGATGAGGCTGCGTGCAAATGGCCAATTACCCCTCAAACTACAAGTGTTTGTTGTTAACAGACTCCAAAACTCTGCTTCAGAAACCAGTAGGTGACAGACATTACATCCATGTCCTATACAATTTTTGTTTTCTCTGTATCTTCACAAAACAATAGGTGAAGTCACCAAACTATCTACGGGTTTTCTACAGTGTATGATCAAATGTATATTTATCATTGATTGTTTGGTCAGTAAATAATGAAAAAAATAGTGAAAATACATAAATCCTGGTTAATCAATTTAAACATCTTGTCTTGCTCTTTCAACTCTCCAAGACTATGGAAGAATATATCCAAAAAAAAAAGTTCAGCAAGGGAAAAAAAAGGCTTTAATGAAAATGACCTCTTAGTGTTTTGCGCTACAAAGAAACTGGTTTGAATATTTAGTTTGTGTCCTGTGCCAATAACCTCTTTTTATGAAGCAAATTTCAAAATAAAAGTTACAAGGAGCAAATTTAAACATGCTTCTAGGCAATCGTTGAAAGACATACTTTTATCAAGTCTCTACATCTCCTTGTTGTAGTCATAGTTTCCCTTCTTGATGTTAGTGTACAGTATGCTGCTTGTATGTCTCCCCCTCCTCTAATTCTCATTCCAATCTCGCCCTCACCATCACTGTCTCCCTCCCTCTGTCTCCCTCCATCCCTCACTCTCACTCCCCCTCTGTCTCTCTGCTCCTTCTCTCAGCAGTAAGCCCTCTAATCTCTCCTGTTCAATCGCCTGGCAGACACATGCCCTCTGTCTGCAGAGCCAGCGGGGATGTTTCCTGTGCAGGTGTACCACAGAGCATGCACAATAGGTACGAAGAGCACGGGGAGCGTGGCGGCTTTAGTATGACGAGCAGGGCAGGTTGCATGATAAGTATGCTGAGGATGGTTATAGGTATGGAGAGTAAACATGGCAGCTATAGCGGATGCAGCAGGTCCAGGGCACAGGGTGATCACAGGGGTTTGTGGGTTATAAGTATGCCGGGCAGCGTGTGCATGGAAACCGCGGAGAGTCCGGCGGGCGTGGTGCGAACAGTGGGAGTAGCAGATGGTGGACACAGTGAGTATGAAACATGGCAGACACTTTGGGTACAGTGAGCACAGTGTGACCCCCTGTGCAGGGTGGCGGGACCGGGGGCCAAGGTTGCCAGTCGTGCCTGGACTCCCGCCCACTCTCCCTGACATCCTCCATGACGTTTCCTCTCTCCCCTCTTGCTGAGTCATTAGTAATTTTTGAGAGTTGGTAGCTTTTCCCCCCTTGTTGCTGGCATCTCTTAATCAATGTTAATTGGCTTGGAATTAGCATATGTTAATTAATGATATTTACTTCAAATTAAAGGTATGAGTGGTCCCAGAGGGTTTCCTGTTCATCTAATTAGAACCAATTAGCTGCAATTAACACGTGTAAATGAGACGGCACTGAGTCCAAAACAAACAGTGTGTATATGCAGGCTGCTGCCCAGCTTCCCCTGTGTTACCAAACATACACTGAGCCTGTGTTTCCTTTTCTATCTGTGCAGTCACATTACATTCATGGCAGTAACATGTGCTATAACAAACCAGGAGGAACAAAAAGTCATCTCAGCTCAAACACATCACCATCCTGGACCTCTCTGCTCCAAGTTTTCCCGCTCACATCCTCAGCATCTCTCCTATTTTTAGAGCGCGCTGCCAAACTAATTTGTTTTACAGACCTTCCTATCAAGTGAAGAAAATCCCGGAGGTGTATTAATTGAAATTCAGTCGACGGCACATCTTGTTTTGGTCTAAGAAACCACCAGCCGTGCTGAGTGTGGAGAGTAATCTCACACAGGGAAAATTGCCAGGAAATGAGAAGATGTAAACAAGGGAGAAGGTAGAAAATAAACAGAAGTCATTCAAGCATCCATGGCATCTCACCATACTCTATTAAAAGTAGACTGACTGTTTTAGTTTAGATTCCAGCGGATCTTCTCTTACTTTTACTAACTGGCTACTTTTTTAGTGGGAGAAATCACATCCCATCTTTCTTGCAGTAAAAAAACAGCTAAAGTAAGTTTTGACACAAAGTACAACGAAAGGACCCAAAGAGAAAATAAAAATAACAAGTGAGCTTTAACAAGTGAGTGACAGCTATCAGGGCTACAAAATCAAATTCTCTTCATTTTTTAAGTGTCTCCAATAAGTAACAGTGACAGAAAAACACTAATAATGTTCCCCATTATGCAGATGACACTCAATTTTACCTATCAATGTGACTGGGGGAAACCAATTAGCCAACCAAACTAGAAACCTGCTCTAAGGACATTGTTTATTTGAGGATTTTCACCAAAGCACAAAAACTGCACTGCTAAGGATGACAGATAGCCAACTGTTGGCCCCACAGTGGTCTCATCATCTTGCTGCTTTTGATACAACTGACCATAAGATCCTGTTACAGAGACTTAAAATAACCTCTTTAGCTTGACTGAAATCATATTTTTCTGATTGATCTAATCTTGTGCATGTTAGTGAAAGTCTTCTGTGCCCACCAAAGTTATCTATGGAGTTCCACAGGGTTCAACGCTTAGACCAATCCTTTTCACCTTGCTTCATCAATCCTTCCTATATCATGCCTATAACTGAAGCCACAGAAACCAATAAAATAACAACTCTTGAAGCACGCCTTGAAGTCATAAGGACCTATAAGACCAGGAATCTTTTGCCACTCAATTCTGACAAAACTGAAGTTATTGGTCTCTGCCCCAAATACTATAGTGATTTTTCAATGATATAACTGTAGCAGATGGGATCAGTCAGGTATCCAGCCTCACTGTTGAGAATCCAAAAGTTATTTTTGGTCAGGATATATCCTTTAACCTCTACATTCAAGAAATTTCCAGAACTGCCTTTTATCACCTGTTTAATATTGAAAACTATATGGTATTTTGAAATGTAATAAACAGAGAGCAGACACATTACTGAAACTCTATATTTGAAACAGAATACATTTATGGAAAATTCACGTTTTTGTCCCATTTCACAGACTGTCAGAGTAACAGGAAAATATATATTAATGGAGATATAGAGAGAGTTGGTGTTTTTTACAGTGAAAAAACTGTATGTATATATTGGTATCAATAACAGTATCGGCTAAAGATGAGTCTGAAAATCTCAGCATGTCAGCAAAAATTAAACTTTGTACGTTCCTACTTGTCCATTGCGCTCCCAGTACGCAGGCTGTCTTGTCATACTTTGAGTATCTAACAGTAGTATAGGAGGTGAGACCTATAATTATCAAGCCCTTGGAATTATCTATCAGTCTGGGTGCAGGAGGCAGACACCTTCTCTTTCTCTCAGAAGTGGCTTGAAACTTTCCTTTTCCACAAAGCTTATAGTTAGGGTTGGCTAGATCAGCCCTTAGTTATGCTGCTGTAGGCCTAGACTGCTGGGAAACCTGCCACATGTAGCCTTTTCTTTCTGTTTGCATGTCACTGCATTAAAATCTTCATGTCGTCTACCAAACACAGATCTTATTTCAGAGGCTCTTGTTTTGGTTGGTACAGACAGCCTGATGCTGTGGACCTGCTCACACCAACTGTTTCATTTTTATCATCATTACTATTATAATGCTATATGTTAGAATTAGTAGATGTTACAATTTTTCAGTATATATTTGGAAATACATTGCATCCATGTTGTTTTGCAAGCTAGACTGACCCAGCTGTGCAGATTTGATACAGCCTTGCAGACGTGTTTTTCCCTGTCTCCTGTCTCTTGTATCTGGATTGCAGGTCTGTCTGGATGAGTGAAGTCTACAAAGAACTGCAAAACAGCATTGTCTGCTCTCTGTGCTCAGCTCCTAAAGAGACCTAAAGCACTGGCTAGAGTGTTTTGGCAGACACAACACACATCCTTTCATTCCACCTGGGTATTATAACTTCCCCCCTGTGCGCGTCCCTTTTCAAAAACCCCAGACTTCAATTATCCATCCTGCATTGGCGAGGTATCAATGAAGAACCCAGCGGTGACATCCGCAACTTTCCGTGCTGTTCTTTAATGATGAATAGATGCAGATTATATTTCTTTTTGTGTTTTTTCTTCTCTCCCCTCACCTTCACCTAAACCCCCACCGCCGCCCATCGAGGTAAAAGAAGGTGTCTTGTTGAAATCCCTTCCTGCTCTGAGCGCTGCCTAATCTTGAGTTAGTGGTTGTGGATGCAGCATTGACAGGCGTCTCTCTCTCTCTCTCTCTCTCTCTCTCTCTCTCTCTCTCTCTCTGTAGCTTTTGGTAGACTCCCTTCAGCGTACTTACCACTATAACAATCAGGGGTGGGGGGTAACGTTGCAGGAGGGTTTGCAGTTGAAAATACAGCATCCACCGCCTTTGTTGGGCGATAAGGGAAAGGTGGCGGGTGAGGGGGTGGAGGGATACATGCACACAAGGAGCGATCTTGGGAGCTGAACAAATCTGAAAACGGCATTATGGGTTGGTAAACACAGATGCCATAAGAAGGTGCAGGATTTGCCGTTTTCCTATTCCCCCCTTTTTTTAGAGGCTGGAGTACAAGGCACAAAGACGAGGTGGAGGTGGAGTGAGTGGAGGGATGAAGCGAGAAAGAAAGGAAGAAAAAGGAAGGAAAGGAAAAAGGAAGGAGACGAGGTGAAGGAGAGAGGGTCTGATAGAGGGATCCGAACCCATAGTCAAAGCTAAATTCAGGTCTCTTCATTAAACTGTCACTCACCTGCTGCCCCACAGGGTGTCACTTCATGTAAACACTATCCTTCAGGCCAAAAGGTTTGGCCTCAAGTACAACTAGTTCAGATTTATTCTCTTTTCTTTTTAATGAACAAGCCTCTTGGTTTCAGTCACATTCTAGTCATTTTTGCCCTTTATAGACTAATCCAACAAATCACTATTACACTGTGGTGGCCTCGAGTCAAAACAATTGCACATTCGTCCTCAGAAGCTGCTTATGTTCTACTTTCAGCTTTACTGTCTGTATTACTGAACTTGGAGTAACGGTGTAGCTTGCCTTGTGGAGTCTCAGCTTCTCTATCAGTCCTAACAAACTTAAACTTAATTAAGTTAATTTTTTCCCAACACACAGGCTTAGCTTCATGAGGAGTACTCCTGTATGAGAGCAGACAATTTACAGAGATTAACCAGCAGCACCCTCATAAAAGGGTCGATAATATTATGATTGTTTGTAATTTTACCCTTTACTAAATGACCTGTTGATTGCACTTTTTCTTTTAATGCCAGCTGATGAATGAAATAACAACATGCTCCTCATGTAGTTAGCATACTTGTTAGCATGCTAATCAGAAAGGTGCGTGTAAACCTTATGGCTAAGTTCCAGTTGAATCTGGATCTCCTTTCTTATACAAATGCAGTGCCGCTGTGCTGATCTACCAAAGTAATATAGAGACTGCCACAATGTTAGACTTTCACCTAACAATTATTATCATGATAACAATATAACCGTGATGTTAAAAGAAAACACAATCAGTCAAACAGAGAAAAAGCGAGAAAAGGGTGGAGCAACAAATGACTTTGTAAGCTCAACATATTTTATCACCTTATGTGGCATCATCTAATTCTAACAACATTCATGTATTTGAGGTATTGCCTTTTCAACAGTTGTTTGTCATGCTTTTATTTGAGATTTTTTTCTGCTTTGTGTTCAGGTTGCTTCATTTCCTACATTGTCAAACTATCTTTTTTTAATCTGTAGAGCAGAATAGAACTGGATGCAGAGAAAGGTTAGAAAGTATACATGTTTACTTTATCAGAAACCTAAAGAGAAACAAGCTCCTATGTTCTTTTTGGAATAACAACGAATCTTGGACATCAGTTTTAATAACAGCTAATCATCTCTCAGAGGACTGCTACAGCAAGATCACTAGCAATCTTCTACTTCTTCTTCATCTATCCTGTTTTATGATGTGTGGCAACCAACATAAAATACCACGACTATAATGTCATGGTATTGTCAAATGTTAATTTTTTGCACAATATCAGCATTTCAGTTTTGCCCCCTTTGTCCTTAAGACCAAGTAAATGGTGAAAGTGTGAGTCTGAGTGAGATGTCAAGAGTGGACAATGATAAACTGTTGTGATTGATAAATAAGGATGAGAGCACATTAGATATATATACACCGGAAAATATCCCTCCTTCGACATATTGGGCAAAATAAATTCTCATGCAACAGTTTTGCTGGAAGAATCAAATGCATGTTATCTCTTCTGTATCATGAGACAGATAGTTAAAGGGACACAGAGAGGGATTTGAGATGAAGGTAGCTGCACTGAGGAGACTTAAATCTGCATGTTTGTGTCTGCTGTGATCCTGATTTGTTCCACTCTCTGTCTAGACCTGGATCTCCTTTGAAGCTGGTCTGAGAATCGTCTTGATATTCTTCTCTACAGGTCTCCCCACAACAAGTGACAAGTAAGTTTAAAGCGTGTCTTTGGACTAGCAGGAAGAAGTACATTACAGCTACATCCCTGCCAGTGTTCGGTGTTTTGGCTTGAGGGAAAGGAGAACTCTCACCCTGCCGTCGGCTGCTCGCAGGAGATAAAAGATTCGGCGTGTTTTTACCTGCGTTTGTCTCCACCGCTCTGTATCTGGAATTACACCAGGGAGCTGGTCGATAACGCCACTACAATCAGGCTCGCCACAGTGAGTAGCATGTTCTCCTTTCAGGGCTGTCACACAGGAAAGACAATGCAGCACACCTGTAGGCTCCACCGAGAGCTTCCTCTGTTTTATTGTCAGCTCAGCGCGCTGGGACCCAGGCGTGAGCGGCTGCTCTCTCACATCACAGAGAAACAACTCCAGACTGTCTCAGTGGAAGACACACTGCATGTCTGTTCGTGTGTTTGATGCAATCATGTTAAATGGAAGTCCTGCAGCTGTAGCAGAGGAATGATTCAAAATACAAACGTGATATTTGGCAAGAGCTTACAGTGACTTTTAGCTGAAGATAGACTGTTTTAATCAAGCGGAGTAACAGCATTTAGACAAAATCAACATCACTTCAACATCGGCCCTCACAAGACCGATATCCCCATCATCTTTTCTCAGTGAAGACACATTTTCTAATTCCCAGTGAAAGCATAACTAATCAAATTTTGGTTTTCATTTGTTAGTGTATTTTTTTGTATCTTATCAAATAAAATAAAAAAGATTTACACATCATAAATCAGCCATTGGTCAACCTGCTTACTCATCAGTATGAGCATCACCATCGCAAAACTAATATTGGTCGACCTCTACTTTCAGCTGCAATGTTGAGGTAGTTGTCAGTAATTTTATTTGATTGTTCAGCTTAAAGCGAGCCGTTCCATGAGGAAGTTGACAAAACATAAAAACAGTAAGGAAGTCTGGTCATGTTTAGGACTGTATGCTTTTAGGAACAATGACCAACTCCCAACTCTTGTTCATTCCTGTGTAACCAGCTGTTGGGATACACAACTTTCATTTTCTTGCACTGCATCATTTACAGTCCATTCAACAACTTGCTTGTACCCATATCAACAGTGAAGCTTGCTTCACCTTTCTAGATATGTCTGCAAAATAAATCTTTTAAGAGAAGTTTCCATTTATCAGTTTTACTTTCTGCTGTCTGTCTACCTTCACCCTCCATATGGACAGCTTTTTTCCTGCATACACCTGAGCCTCAGATACCACTTAGCAATTAAATGCTCGACTGAGTAACTCCTAACCTGGGATTTCCACCGCATCCGGAATGGCTCCGATCTGGAACAGCGGCGATTTTCGCTGTACGCCGATTTTTGCCGTATAACAATTCCTACTGGATCAGTCTGTGAGGCGAATTTCATTGCGGATCACGGACAGCAGGAATCGCGAAAACTCACAAAAACCCGTGGAGTCACATGCAATTCCGTGATAACAAGTTGCATTTAGTCACAGAGGCTAACCATATAAGCAGTAGATTGTGTCCTTCTAGAGGAGAAAATCTACTTTTAGACTTTTAAAATGAGCATCCTCTCACCTATGGTGTCATCGTGATGAAATGCTGTCTATAAACCTTTCACTTGTTCGTCCCGCCTGTTTGCATGGTGTGAAAAACAATCCACCTGAAAAACGGAATGTTTTATTTTGAAAAGAAGCTGGATGTTTTATTTTGTGTCTGTGCCTGACTTCCTTTCCAGCACGGGTTAATCTGTGCTGAATTTATCCAGCATGCTTCGGCGTCCAGAAAAAATAGAACTCTCGCGATCATCTGCAGAGTCCAGTGATCCGCAGCGGAACGGAAAGAAGCTGGTGAAAATTGGCACATTGACTTGAATGGTTACGATCAGCTATGATCAGCAGATACAGCCTTTTCGTAACTGTTCCGTGTGCGGTGGAAATTGGGGGTAATTGTGAGTATGAGTTTAATTAGATCAGCAGAGGTTAGTACTATGTGGACTTTTTAGCCCTGGGTTTTTCCTTTTAGGCGTCAAACTCGCTGGTATTGGTCACTACCCAGGAATTTGAGAAGAACCTTTATTTCTTTTGTTGTTACTGTTTGTAAAATCTACTTTAATTGTAACTCACCCAGCCATGTGGATACCTGCCATCGCTGATGCACCACAGTTGGCTTCAGTATTCATTCATTCATATATTCATCATCCTCAACTGTAGTGTGAAATCACCCTGAGGGGATTCATAAAAGTGTGCTGTGTCTAGTTGTTTGCATTCTTGAGTGATAAGCCTTCTTCCTTGACCATAAATTTGATCTCCCTGAATTTTTCCTTTTTCCCTAAAGAGCTGCTGAGACTAAAACAAACTTTATTGTCCTCAACAGACATGCAAGACACATACATGGTCTGCATGAAACACTGTGGGAGATATTTTATTGATTTATGTTTCTAAATCAATCATTGACTGTCAAAACATGCAATTATCAGCCGTGAGAGTAACTTTCCTTCTCACTATTTAAGGCTTCAGACCTGCACGGTGTTCAATAGCAGAGCATACCAACAAACGAAATGAGACTTTTATTATATTGCTGCTTCTTAACTATTTTTGATTGCAAGTTAAAGATAAAAGTTTGCTTCTTAAATGAGTTCCCGCTCATTCTCATTTTGTTTTCCCTCTCTGTGCCGTCTATAAAACCTCCCTTTATTCCCCCCTGCTCCATCTTTTTATTCAACTTTAAATGGATTCCATCTTTTCTTTCCACCGCTATAATCATCCCAAAAAAGCTTGCAACTTGTGAACTTGAGGAACACTAAATCCCCCCCACCTTAACACACATACACATCTGCACACACACAAACATTGCCGGGGATCTTAGGCATTCACGGGCTGATGATTCCGATAATCTGAGTTCAAATACAATTCGTGGATCACAGGATTTAAATGACATTATATAGAAATTAGATTTCACATCTCGAGCAACTGAACCTCCCCCCCGATCCCATCTCTTTCTAATTACGCTACTTTCCCTCGAATCTGCACCCAACTCTTTCTTCTGCTCCCCTTTTTGTTCATTCTGCTTGAATACAGGCTGGGATATTCTTTAGCAGCACACAATGCATCTATTACAATACAAAGTAACCCAGGAGCTGCTATATATTCCCAGTGATGGCTCCCCGGTGAATTGGCTGCGTGTTTGATTCATGGTGGGCCGCAGTGTTTCAGAAAGCGGCGAGGAGGGGGGGGCAGTCATCTACCTGTAACTGACACAGTGAATATTTACAGGAGGGCGCCCAGTTCAACTGAAGTCATGTTAAATCAGCTTTGAAACGGGAATCCTAAAGGTGGTATCTCTGATATGAGTTTGCTTTATTCCCTGCAGGGTAAACGCATGGATGACTACAGAGGTGAACTCTCACTTTTGTTGTTGCGGTTGCACATAGTCGGCTCCCTGATCAGCATCTCTGCTACATCAAAGTCTGCTGCATCCTGCTGGGTGGGTAATTCTTTACATCTGTAAATTTATGCAATAAAACTTTCTGTGTAGAGTAAGATGGGGCTGTTCATTGGACCAATTTATGAGATTTACACTGAGACTGTTTCCCTATAAGGTACATAAAGATTGAAAGTCTCTGATGCCACCTAAAGAGTTCTGGTACAGAAAGCATTATTTAACATCTGTATCGGGCTGAGAGCTCCACCCAAAACCCTAAACCCCTCACCCACCCAGTCATCCATCAGTGGCCATCAAAGGTTGAGTGTGTGTCATAAGAAGAGCGTGGGACTGTGTACTGTGTGTGACCAGGCAGAGATGGACCCAGATAAAAGGCTTCTACAGAGTCCTGATTAGATCTGCTCCCATGTTTGTCTTCCAGTATCAGGGATTCCATGATTCATTAGAGTCTGTTGAGGCTGGCTGTAACAGGGTGTTAACTCTCCCACCTACGCCCTGTAGAGGAGTGTATTCCAGAAAACTGCATGCAAATGAGGCCTTCATCCTCTTTCTGTAACTCCCCTGCAGCTCTGTTTAACTCTGTCCTCCCCAGCTGAAGCACCTCCGGGTGACTCTGATAATTTTCTCCATAAATGAGCTCCATGATTGCAAATAAGCAACAAAGATGGAGCCGATCGATGAGCTGGCAACCGTGAGATTAATTTGTTTAATGTAGGCCAATTCGCTTAATATGGAGAGTTTGAGTGGAAGTTGGGGCGTACATACTTTTTAATCTGTTTCATCAGCTTTGCCTTTCACAAAAAATCTGATGTCTGTGCATTTTTACATTAAATTTATGTGGTTATTTGGGAGCTAAAATGTAGCGTGATGAAGAGTCTTAAACTAGTCTGACTGTGCTGATAATATTCAGGTTTGTCATGTAAATGTTTAAATAATGCTTCATGAGGAAACAAATTATATGAATATTCAGAATGAATCAAACCTGAAGACGTTTCTGGTGACTGAAGCTTCCTTTAGAATATGGTGTAATATTTCTACTTCCTAGTTGAGGATAGCCCTCTCATGAACAAGCTCACCTGAACGCCTCGGCTACTGCAATTTGGACTGAACCAAGAATGAGGGAGAATGCAGTGGTCACTGTTTTTGAATGTTGTCTCAAACCTTTTGCAGCAAGACAAACTCTTGTCTGAGGACTTCTTTACAGAACTACTGTAAATGTTAAAGCCTCAGTGAAACAATAACTCTTCCTGATTCTTCAAAGTTTTTATAGTCTGTTAGATTTCACCCCCCTCAGGTAGCTAGGTGGTACAACCAGGAAGTATTTAAAATTATTGTTTGACCCATGCAATCTTTTACATTTTCTGCTGGAGATCTCTTTCAAGTAAGTGTTCTGTCTTTCTTATTGATGGCATTTTCTTTTGATGTTTGTCTCAAGTTTTAATATAGTTCTCCAAAACTTCCAAGAAATGCCCAAAGTTCATGGTTTGTGGTCTTAAGTTTAACAGTTGGTCATATCTGTGTGTATGATTTGGTGTTGTACATCTTTATCTGTTTAAAAACAAACCCTACAAATAATGTCTGAGGGTGAAGCCCCAGTGACCCACTTTATGCTGTTTGTAGTCCAGTGGAGTAAAGTATGGTCAACATCGAGTGGAAACCTTTGGTGAAGTTAATATTGAGATGCAAAGGTCTGCTTTGTCTCAGGTGGACACAGGCCTCGTGTTGAAATGACCTACTTTCCTGTTGTTTGAAACTCTTTTGTTGTATGAAGCTCGTTGTTTTATTTATACACATTGCACAGGAGGGTGAAAAACTAATATGGGATGATATGAATGGACACACTGACCCTTTGTAACTGTGTATTCCAAGTGGCTAAAATAGGGTGACCATATGACCTCTTTTACCCGGACATGTCCTCTTTTTGGGGGGCTGTCTGGCCTTGTCCGGGGGAGTTTATAAAATCCTTCAAATGTTCAGGCTTTTGTATGGAAGTTTTGAATTTGTGTCATGTGGACTTACTAAGTTAGAAATGCGTAAAAGACACACGACCTGACCCGAAAAACTC